GAGCAGACACACTAGCACCTAGAGCAGCAGCTGGGCTGGCCTGAATGCCCGGGTCGGGCGGAACACGCAAGTACTGGGCACCCTCTCCACTAATAGACATCGCATACATAGCAGTGAGAATAGCATCAAAGTCTAAAGCCCAGATATCAACACCCTTCTTTTCCAGCTCAGGCCAGCGGGGGAGCTCAGTAGACCCAGGAAACTGGATGCGCCACGCGTCAGTCAGGCGCTGGAAGCAGCGCTGCGTGGGGTGCGGCCTCCCACATGGCTGGCCAGTGCGGTCACCAGTGCGGATGACGTACGTGCAAGTGTACCCACGCTGCGCGTACCACTCACGGGCGGCCTGGAGGGTCGGGGCGTGCTGCTGACTCTGGCCACCTCCAGCGTCTCCACGGCCACCACCGCCACCGCCACCGCCACCGCCTCGGCCACCTCCACCCCTGCCACGGCCACGACCGCCACCGCCGCCGCTGCCACCTCCGCCTCTGCCACCACCCCCGCCGCCGCTGTCACCACCCCCACTGCCGCCACTAGCCTCTCCAGACCCACCGCCACCTCCACTGTCTCCACCCCCGCCTCCCCCGCCTCCACCCCCACCCTTGCCCCCCCTGCTCTTGCGGCGCCCGCTCGAAGCAGACGCAGCCCCGACCTTCTCAGCACCAAGGAGGTCGACAGCAGCAGCAGTGGCGACAGAGGGGAGAAGGGGGGAAGGGGAACACCCCTCGAAGAAGGGGGTGCGGGGCTCGCCACGAGAGGCACCTACGGCGACGATGCTCGCCTCAGCTGCAAGTAGGTCCTTCTCGAGGAGGGCAATGGTGAGCTCAGTAGGGGAGCGAGCTAGAAAGGAGTCCCTGACTGTGCGCAGAGAGTCAGGGAGGCGGGTGACAATGTGGTAGAGGGTGAGCCAGAGCGGGGGGGGGTTGCTAGCAAGGAACTCGGCAGGCATAGCAGCGCGAAAACGGGCCTCACTAGTCTTGAGGTGGGTGATGAGATCAGCGACAGTGTGAAAGGAGGCCAGGTCGGGGAACAGGTAGGGCAGGGAGAGGCGGCCTAGGGTGGCAGACGCAGGCGAGGAGTAGCGAGCAACTACGGCTGTGTACAGTTCCTTAGCAGTCTTGCACTGGCCGAAGTGCTCGCGCTCATCTAGCGGCAGGGAGTTGCGGATAGCAAAGCGAGCGTGTGCGTCGCGGGTCTGCCACTGGGAGCGCAGTGTGCTAGCAGCAGAGGAGTCAGGGGCAGTAGCATGGCCTAGGGCGTGGTCGTACAGTGAAATGTCTTCCTTGGCAGTGAGCTGTAGGAAAAGGTGCAGATCATCGAGCCAGGTGTCAAATTTCACTGGGCGGCCCTCAGCGTCGAAGGCTAGAACAGGAGCAGTAGCCATGGTAGCAGGAGGAGGAAAAGTAAGTAATAAACGTGGCAGTGACAGTAGCAGCAGGGCAAGGCAGGGCCGGGGCAGTCGCGACAGCGGCGGCAGTTGCTGCAGGTTCGGCTACAGTAGGGACTGCAGGGCCGGCGGCGGCCGATGGAGTAGACTCGGCGGTTGCGGCTGCTGCAGGATCGGCGGCGGCTGCTGCTGCTGGGTCGGCGGCGGCTGCTGCTGCAGAGGCAGCGGCGGCTGATGCTGCTGTAGCTGCGGCGGCCGCTGCTGTAGATTGCGGCGGCTGCTGCTGCCGTAGATGCGGCGGCGGCCGCTGCTGTAGATGATGCGGCAGCTGCTGCTGCTGTAGATGCAGCGGCGGCTGCTGCAGAAGATGCGGCGGCTGCTGCTGCTGTAGATGCAGCGGCGGCTGCTGCAGAAGATGCGGCGGCTGCTGCTGCTGTAGATGCAGCGGCGGCTGCTGCAGAAGATGCGGCGGCTGCTGCTGCTGTAGCTGCAGCGGCGGCTGCTGCAGTAGATGCGGCGGCTGCAGCTGCTGTAGATGCAGCGGCGGCCGCGGCAGGAGAGGCGGCGGCGGCTGCTGCAGCAGTTGCGACGGCCGCGACTGCAGTCTCTGCCGCGGCTGTTGCTGCAGGCCCGACCGCGGCGACGAAGGCGCGGGGGGTCGAGCGCAGCACACAAGGCGCGCGGGCAGCGCGACGGGCCGCGCGCGAAGAAAAAGAACCGCGCGCGCTGGCGGCAAGCAAGGCGCGCGTGAAAAAATGGCCGCGCGCGGGCTGTTGGCTGGTCGCGCGCACGAAATAGGCCGCGCGCGGGCGGCTAGCAGATCGCGCGCGGTAAAAAAAAAAAAGATGGCGCACTAGGGGCGCAATAGGAGGCGCACTAGGGGCGCAATAGGAGGCGCACTAGGGGCGCTTGATAGGTATGTAGGTAGGTAGGTAGGTAGGTGGGCCCTTAAGAACGGTCCTAGGGAAGGACCTGCTCTGAAACCATGTCAAGATTACGAGACTGGAATGATTGAACTAACAGAGAAATCAGTACAAATAGCAAAGACGCGTCGTAGGTGTTCCATATGCTGCTTCATGTCCCTCAAGTAGATCAGGATGTCGTCCAGGTACACCACCACGCATTCGTCGAGTAGAGGCCTGAGAATATGGTTCATTTCGGCCTGGAATGTAGCGGGTGCGTTGGTGAGACCGAACGGCATGACGAGGTACTCGTAGGATCTGTATCGTGCCCGGAATGCCGTCTTGTGGATGGAATTGTCAGCCATCCGTATCTGCCAGTATCCCGATCTCAGATCAAGCTTTGAGAATATAGTGGCTCCCCGAAGCTGGTCAAGCAGGTCATCGATCCGAGGAATGGGAAACTTGTTTTTAATCGTCTGCTTATTGAGAGCTCGGTAGTCGATGCACATGCGTAAGCTTCCGTCAGGTTTTGGCGTGAAGAGCACTGGTGCACCGTATGGTGATGTCGATGGTCGAATGAGTCCCTTTTCCAAGAGGTACTCAATCTGCTTATTCATGTCAGCCAACTCGGTAGAGTTGAGTCGATATGGTGCTCGGAAGGTCGGTTTCGAACCAGGTTCTTCGACGATCTCGTGCTGGTGGGTTCGGTATGGCGGCAACTGGTCTGGAAGGTCTTTAGGAAGAACGTCTTTGAACTCCTCCAGAAGTTTCTCGATAGCAGGCGGAAGCTCAGGTGCTTTCTTCTCTGCTTCATCCTCGTCTGTAACCAGTGCGACGAACCCTGCCATGATTTTTTTCACGTCCTTCTCGAAGCGTGCGAGAGTCTCCTCCGGAATATCTCCCGTGTTGCTCCAACTCGGAAGTGGAACTCTTCTGTCTTGATTGTAGATGCTCGCCGTGCGGGTGACCCAGTTGATCTCGGGGTTGAACTTCTTGAGAAAGTCTCTCCCAAGAATCAAGTCTAGCCCTTTGATGTTGGTGACAGGTAGGGTCGGTTTCCAGCGAAGAGGACCCATCTGCAGGTGTAACGCTACTTCGCCGTAGACTTGTAACTTGCTTCCGTCAACCATCGTAGCTGTAAAGCTTGAAGGCGTGTACTCCTCGTTAATGCGTTCGAGAGTTGTTTTTTCACATACTGAATGGGATGCTCCGCTATCCACGAGTGCTTGGAGGCGTCGCCCATTGCAGATCACCTCGAGCAGTAGTGGTTGGCGTTGCTCGCTGCACCCGTTGATTGCCTCGTTGATAGGATCGTAGGGCATGTCCCAGAGCTCCGTATTTTCTCCTGGGGTGGCAGATGGTCGGTTCTGCTTTTCCTGAATGCCATGATTTTTTGTTGTCGTCGACGACGTGGTTCTCGAGCTCGTAGTAGAATTCCCTTGTAGGGTTGGTGTTTCAGATGCATCTGTAGAGGAGGTTTGAGGTCGTCGCAGCTTCATATTGACCTCCAGCTCCCTCTTGAGCTGCTTCAGCGCCACCGACTTCTTCCGTGGGGACCGGTTGGTCGACGTGGGTTGGTTCTTCTGAGAGAGGACGGCGTCGTCGTTGGAAGGTCGATCTTCCACGCTCCGTTGTTGGTTCCCCATACGCAGCTGCTGCAGCAGTCGTACCGGTACATTATTTTTCTTTAGGAGCCTCTCTCCAAATTTCACCAAGGCCGTAGACCCAGGGGAATTTATCCCAAGTAAAGCATCCTTGTATGATAATTTTAAGGAGTGCTTACTTTTTACAGGGCCTTTTTGGAGTTGTCCGGGTCCAGCAGGGTCTTGTTTTGCGGAGGTTTTATTTTCCTCGGCGTTTTTCCCTGGTAGAGTCCGTTCGTGGGTTGAAGAATTCACTCCACGATCCTCCAATTTTTGCGTTGAATCTGCTCCACTGCTGCGGTCCCGAAACGATGCACGTGCGGTTTTCATTTTGTTACAATCGATGAATCGATGTCCCGGCTTGCCGCAGAAAGAACACTTAGCTTTGTTCTTCTTTGGTCTTGCCTTCGCGTCGATTCGATCGAGTTCCATCGGGTCGGCGTACGTGGGGGTAGCCAAGCGTCCTCCATGTCGTCTAGCTCGTCCATGAAGTCGTCGTGTTCCGATCGTGATTACGTCAAAATGCTCTGCTGCCGAGACAACGTCGTAGCTGCTTGGGTTGGAGATTGCTTGGAGATTACATTTGGGTTTGGTTGGGATGTGGGTGTACACCCAACCAAACACAAAGTGCAAACTACACTAAATTAGGATATAAAAAGTACAAGTACAAATGTGAGATTGAGGGCTAACATTAACACCACTTGCTTACTGGAGCTTTGCGGTAGAAGGTCTCGATGGCATATCGAAGTCGAATCGCGCGCTCGAGCATGAGGTAGGTCGAGCCCAACTGCACCTCATTGTCCTGGCGAAGACGCAATATCTTCGCCTTCTCATCATCCCTCTGGATCTTCTCGAACAGGGTAGTCCTCTTGGGCGAGAACCCAATGAAGGACGCTAGGTCTCTAACCATCCCTAGCGGCTCTTTGATATCGAGCACTGTCTTCAGCCCTAGCTGGATTGCTAGGTTGCAAATGTGGGACATGCTTCTGGTGGAAGGGTTGCATGATAGAAGGAGAAGGCACACACACAAGAATGATTCAGGCTACGATCAAGAGAGTACCACACACACAACTAGAAACCACATGCTGACATGAGAACACTAAGGGTGGCATAGAGTTGCCACCATGTGTGCGAGAGGTAAACCAACTTAAGGTACCCGACGTGCATGCCGGAGAAAATCAAGGGCGGCTGATGGTCGGTTGGCCCCCCACGGCAAAGGAACTCCATCGCTACGACATTGGCCGACGCGTTGTCGGATGTCTCAGCAATGCACCGCTTCTCCAAGTTACACTCCTTCACCACATCGAGCGGCACCTCGACGATCTTCTCACCACTGTGCTCGCCAGGCATAGTGCGGAAGTCGAGGGTTATCTGCCGCAACTCAAACTTCTTAGTCAGGCAGTGACCCGTCACTGACATATAGGATCGGTGATTCTCACCGGTACATATGTCATGCGTAAGGGCAAAAGCCCCTATGCCGTCAGCAGCAAGCATCTCCATGAGCTTGATCCTTGCTAGCCCTACCAGGTGGATGATTTGGCGGGCAAGGGTGTTGCGCGAGGGAATGACTTTCTCCACGGCACACTTGGGATTGGCGGCTGCCATGAGATTGCAAAACTACCATCAATTAGGGGTATAGGGGGTGTGTACGAGGCCGCGGGGACTGAACTTCAATCACGACTGGTTTTGACAAACACCGCAGGCTGGACGATCAAAACGACAGGACATAAGCAGCAACTAACCCGCTGGATCAATGTAATTGGGGTTAAAAAGGGGGTGGTGAGGTGGTATGGTGGTGGGCTCACTGTCGGGTGCTCCACCATAGTGAATGTCTGGTTGGTGGCAACCACCCACTCGCACAAGGCCCGCTGCAGATGGTCCTTGTCGAAGCGCTTGGGGTAGGTCTGTATGATCAGCTGCTGCCCCATCCTCGCTGGCGCCCCCTCAGTGGGCGGCACTGGCCAAGTGTCCGCGCCTACCCATTTCACGCCCCCGTCCGGAACCTCGTTGTCAACTCCATACCCCCCTTCACGGAAGTGGTCGTTTGGGCCCACCTCCCCACCATGGAACTTCCGCAACCATATGATCCAGTGGTTGAGGTGCTGCCCTTCCATGTGAACCCTGCCGGTCTTGCAGTTGGTTTTGGCAAAGGAGATCTCCATATTGCACATGCGACATCGACGCTTCTCCTTTGGATGGTCAGGAATCTTCTAAAAACATCGGGTGACGTACCTCGTTAGAACCCTGGGTGGTGTGTCATTAGAGTGTGCGGATAGGGTGCCAACACCATCCTCAGCAGTGTCTTCCCTCCGGATCTGCCCTCCCCCTCGAACACCGCAACTACCACGCCCCCTCCCTCTCCCTCGCCCTCCTCCTTTCCCTTGCCGCCCCCTTCCCCCCCCACCTCGTCCTCCTGCAGCCTTCTTACCCTTCCCCTTTCCACCCCGCTTCCTCTTTTTAGCTCTCTCCTCCCCATCTCCCTCTGTATCCTCCACACCTTCCTCTTTCAAGTCGACATAGTCCTCAGCGTTGTTGTCCTCTGCCTCCTCTCCGTCACCAGTGTACACCTCCTCCTCGGAGTCGTCACCGCTCCCCTCCTCACTCTCCTCCCCCTCCATGTCCTCGTCAGCATCCCCCTCCTCTTCCTCGTGCTCCTCATTGTCAGTCGCCACCTCCTCCTCATCCGCCTCATCCTCGTCACCATCCGCACGAGCAGCAGTGCCGCAATCTGCACTGGTTGGACCGGCGGTACCGTCCACACCGTCACCATCGCCATCGTCCCCTACTTCACCACAATGCTGTTCGAGATCCTCTCTCTCAACCCGGTCCTCCTCATTATCTTCACGATGAGTGCCACGATTTACCCAAGAGTTTCCCTCGCCATGAAGTTTGTCCACCTTCTTGCCTCGTCCAACCGCCTCTAAAAGTTGCTCACGATCAAACTCCCGGCCACTTTCAGTTGGCGTAGCTCTTTAGATGCCATCCCAATCTGCTGAACGCCGGAGTGCTCTTCAGACGTCTCAAAAGGGGGTAAGCAGGGAGTGCTCTTGAGACGTCGCAAAAGGGGGTAAGCAGGGAGCGCTGTGAGGGAGATGAAGCTGCTGCAGGTGCTGCACCACCCACCTACACGCCATTGAGCAATGAGCTCGTTGACATTCACCCGCACAAGAGGAACCTCAGTTTGGTTCATGAGTTCATGGAGACAGACTTGGAAGTGAGTGTGTGTTGTGATAGCACGAAGGGAGCTGCACCACCCACACATCATCGATCTCATCGCCATCTACCCGCACAAGAGGAATCTAAATTTGGTGCTCGAATTTGGAGACAGATCTAGAGGTAAGAGAAGGTGGAGCTTGTTGGGGACAAAGGGATGCTTGAGGTGAACGTGAGGGAGCACCATCCACAACGTGACGGCTCTGACGGAGATGAAGCTACTGCAGGCAGGAGATGCACCACCCTCACATCATCGATCTCATTGACATCTATCCCCACAAACGAAACCTGAATCTGGTGCTCGAATTCATGGCGACTGACTTGGAGGTAAGGTGCTTCATTGTGTGTTGTACACAGAGGGGAAGCTCCTCTGAGGGAGATCAAGTTGCTGCAGGAGGCTCTCTCTCTCTCTTCTTCTATGCTGTCCCCCAACCCCTCCAGAATACCATCAAAGATCGTTCGCTGCACCTGTCACCAGGGGACATCAAGGTGTTATTGAAATCACTTTTGAGAATTCTCAAAAGTGATTTCAATATAGATGCTGCACCTGTCACCAGGGGACATCAAGGCATGCATTCATGCACGTGACTGTCCCTTCTTTCCCCCAGTTCTCCTCTCCCAACCTTCTTTTCTTTCCGTCACCCTCCCCTTCCTCCCCCGTCTTTCAGAATATCATCAACGACCGCTTTCTGCACCTGTCACGGGGGGACATCAAGTCATTCATGCAGATTGCTTTTCCTCTCGCAAGCTGTCCTCTGTATTATATTGGTCATAGGTACATGCAAATGGGCGAGAAGAAACGGTCCTCTCGAATGGTCCTTTGTATTAATAAACACTATGCTCACAAGCATGCAAGATTGATGGTGAGGCAAGCATCCTACTCGCCACCCGCCTGGTCCACGAGGGGTCCAAGCAGGGGTTCTAGGATTTGAAATAGGTAACCTTCGGCTAGGGTTTCGATGGCATCAGCAATCCCAGCCGCATCCGCCTCCATGGCCGTGTGAGTTTTCAGATTGAGGGCGTGAGCCTGCCTGTCGTGATAATAGGTATACTGAGGAGCCATAGCTAGGGTTGACCTAGCTAGGCAAGAGAGAATGAAGGCAAAAGAGAGGACTGAACTAGCAAGAATGGGGATACAAATAGCAAACCCTAGAAGGGTTGTACTCGCTACAGAGCACCCCACTACAGGCTAGAGCATAATATTCTGACACACCCCCATAGCCAAAGTGGGGTGTAATCAGCAGAGGAAACAAAGTAGTACAAGCTCAGGGTGGATCACGATGTCACCACACATTCTGAGCACAAGCAAGAAGCAATAGTTTAAGGTGCACAATTATGAGCAAAGCTAGAGGCAGTCACAAAAGGGGCAAGTGAGGAGGAGGAGGCGAGACTGTAGGTGGAGAGGAGATAAGAGGCGTCGGCTGAAGCTGCAGACACACGGGCAACAGGAGTCAAACTGGCTCAGTGGCTACCGGAACAAGCGCCCCGGACTACAGGAGTAACTGGCTCCGCGGCTAAGAAGAGCGGCAGACGAGCAACGGACCCACGGGCGACTGGCGCAGCTGGCTACGACTGGGCTACCGGAACAAGCGCCCCGGACTACAGGTGCTGCTGACGACAAGACGGCAGCCTCCGCTCAACCTCCCCCGACTGTCCCACCCCCCTCTCACACACCCCCTGCTGGAACCCTAGCTCCACTCCGACGGTACCCCCCTTAGACCCCAAACCCTAGGCTCCCACACACCACCCCCCTCAGCGGCAGCTGTAGCAGAGGGAGACGAGGGAGGAGGAGGAGCAGGGAACGGCACACTGAAGCTGCACCCCCATACCCCCCACCCCAAACCCTAATCCAGGAGAACGGGCAGAAGGAGGGGTGGGGCGCCTTCAGAAGCACGGGGGACAGCGGGGAGGACAGGGGAAGCGAAGAACGGGCCGCCCACGGGCCTGGCACCGCCTCCCGAACCGCGCGCAGGCGGTCCGAGCCGCGCGCGGGCCTGGCGCAGCCCGTACGGGCCGCGCGCGTGCCTGGCGCAGCCCGTACGGGCCGCGCGCGGGCCTGGCGCAGCCCGTACGGGCCGCGCGCGGGCCTGGCGCAGCCCGTACGGGCCGCGCGCGGGCCTGGCGCAGCCCGTACGGGCCGCGCGCAGGCCTGGCGCAGCCCGTACGGGCCGCGTGCCGGGTGTACGGGCCGCGTGCAGGCCACGACGGGCGACGGGGGGCGACGCGCGGGTCCCCGTCGCCCGTCGCAGCGCCTCCCGGGGGCGACGTGCCGAGTGACGGGGCAGGAACCCGTCGCGCGCCTCGGGGCACACGGCGGGCAGAGAACCGCCGCGCGCCTCGGGGCGCACGGCGGGCAGAAAACCGCCGCGCGCCTCGGGGCGCACGGCGGGCTGAAAACCCTAGTTTCGACGCCGCGCACCACGGGGCGCGCGGCGGACAGGGAGTAGCAGTAGCAGCGGAAGCAGTGAAGTGGGCCCACAGGCCAGGAACGTTAAGCTCTGATACCATGTCGTGATAATAGGTATACTGAGGAGCCATAGCTAGGGTTGACCTAGCTAGGCAAGAGAGAATGAAGGCAAAAGAGAGGACTGAACTAGCAAGAATGGGGATACAAATAGCAAACCCTAGAAGGGTTGTACTCGCTACAGAGCACCCCACTACAGGCTAGAGCATAATATTTTGACACTGCCCTCGCTGCAGAGTGATGCTCCAGCGCTGCCTATACTCGTGGAACAGCTTGGCTGCTTCCGCCGAGGTAGGGGGGGCGTTGAACCGCAGCTTGGCGGCCAGGTCGGCGCACATCTTAAGGAACTTAAACACGCCAGGTGAGGTACAACCGTAGGTCTCGACTGCCATGGGGATAAACCCCACCCAGTCGTTCCTGATTGCATATTTCTCCATCTTCTTGTATGCAGCCACCTGGGCAGCCCACCCTGTCCCCTTCCGTGCATACTTGTCACATTTCGAGATGGGGTCAGTAACAGTGACGTCACAAATGTGTATACGGCCGGTGAATGGGATCGCGGATCGAGAAGTATGCGAATAGGTTTTCGACCGGCGTATACATCGCTGTTTCCTTGTGGACGGTGTAACCGGCTTCTAGAGCTATGCGACAACATTCATCCCGAAGGGCATGGTGGGTGCTCGTCCGTCCCTTCCCTGTCCCACAGCGCAGCAGGTGGTTTGGCAGCCGGCTGTCCAGGATCTTGACAGCCTTCGTGCAGTCACATTGGCGGGGGATTGGGTGAGGGAGGCCTAAGCGGAAGAGAATGGCTTGGGAGTAGTCGGAGGGAGCTCGTCGGGGGCAACGCCGCCAGCCAGTCGCCTGCTCCGGGTCCGAGGAGGGATAGGAGGCGTTGCGTGTGGCCCATGAGCGGGTTCGGGGACATGGACCGGCTGCTGCGGACGCCGGCGACTGCCTTAGCTGAGTGGACGTGGAGTGCGAGTGCGTGTTGCAGCTTCAACCCATCGCCCTTCTCTCGTCCGACCTTCATCACGGCCGCTGTTGAGGGGGGGAGGATGGCTTCCGCGGCAGCCAGCCACTGTGGCAGTGCGGCAGGGTTTGTAGGGCTTGCGTCCAGCAGGGGCGCGAGTTCTGCCACCTCCTGGTGGATCTTGGAGCAAAGGGAACGCAGGAGGTGGGCCGTAGCGACCGCCGATGCCAGGTAAGCGTAAGAGCCTTCCGTGCTTGGGTCAGTGAGTCCCAGACCTCCAATGGTGGTGGGGAGGCTGGCCTGGTTCCAGATCCGTTCCTTCTCCGCCGGCGCACGAGGCTGTGAGATTTGCGCCGCAGCAAGCAGGGTGTGCAGCAGACTTTCACCCCACGTGGACCATTCGGCGGCGGACAGGTGGGATAGAGGGGTGGTGCGCGCGAGGAAGGAGGCTCTCCGGCTAATGCATCGGGTGAGCAGAAGGTAGGAGAGCTGGGGGTCCATGTGGCCCACCAGTGGCAGCGGAGCGCTCGCTGTAGCGAGATTTTCCCGCAGTTGCGTGACACAGCCGTCGGCTGTTCCTACTGGGCTGCCGAGGACGCGCAATCCCGCGCGATTGAAGAGGATCCCGGTGGGGAGGTCGGCGTCGTTCATGGGGCCTGGAGACCAGGCTGCGCACTTTGGAGGGTTGTGGGCCAGGCCGATGGGGAGGAGGTCAGCCGTAAGATGGTTGAAGGCGGAGGTGCAGGCGGACGCGGGGCCAAGGAAAGTTATATCGTCCGCGTAAGCGATGATGACAACGCTCGGAAAAGCAGCGGCGGTGGAGGTAAGGGAGCGTTGGATACCAGCGGCAAAGAGCAGCGGTCCCATTGGATCACCCTGGCGGACTCCACGCGCGCTTGTTGGAGATGCTGCGTTGAAGCCCGCGTCCACTCGTAGGATGGAGGCGGAGCCGTATGTGAGACGAACGAATAGCGTTGAATGCGTTTGCTATGTCCATCTAAAGTGCGGTCGCGGTAGGGTTTCCTCCAGGTACGTGCGGGTGATATGGATGGAGGCTTCTGTTCCCCCTGGTACTGCTACGCCGAGCTTGATGGGTGTGAAGAAGTCGCGGGCTGCTGCACTCGTCAGGTAAAGTGCACATTTCGCGATAAGGCGATGCAGGCACTCGCCCACTGCGATGGGGCGGATTCCTCCTCCAGGTTTGGCGAACGCAACCAGACGTGAAACTTGGATGGGGGTGTTGGTGTCAAGCCACAGTAGCGCCGTGACTCTCACTTGTCGCTTGTGTGTGTGGGTCACAGCGCCCACCTCCATCAACGCACTGCCTATTTGCATGCATGCCCATGCCCCTATGCATGCCCATGTGCATGTGCACGTCTATGTGCACACACCCATGGCCATGGTCCCCATGCAACATGGATGGATGCACCAGCTGATGGCGCTCTCCCGCGGGCTGCACATGGCGCTGCTGCTCAACCGCACGCTGCTCATCCCGCTCAAGCTAGCCCACTTCAACCGTGTCATGCGCCACAGCGTCGCCCCTTCCGGTTTCCGTGACCGCGCCTGGGCCGAGTACTCCCTCCTCCTGCGCTCCCCTGGGCAGAGCTGGCCAGCAAGGGCCGTGTTAGTGAGTGCATGGATGTGTTGGCAGACATCGGGATTCCCGAGAGCAGCATCACGAAGGTGTTCGAAGGTTGTGCCTGAGGGTCCGGCTCCAACTCCATTGGGGCATTTGGCGATGATTTTGCGAAAGTCGCGAAGGGGTATGATTGGTGGTGTGTCAGTGGCGTGGCTGGTAACCCAGTCAGGGATGAGTAGTTCGGCAGGAGGATGGCGCGCTTGGAGGGCAGCCAGAGTGTCAGGTGTGGTGGGGGCCACAGGGGTGGCTTCTAGGGCTTGGAGGGATTTTCTGAGGTTCCCGCGTTTGGCCAAGCCTTCAACTCTGGCCAGGCAGCCAATCTCGTCGGCAGTGTGTCTGGGCTGGGCAGGAAGCTCAATAGCCTTGGCAGCTTCTTCGTACAATCCCTGCCAGTTCGCGCGCTCAAATGATAGGATTCGGCTGCTGCAAGCTGGCCAGTCCGGACGTTTGGTGCTTGGAACGCGGAGGATTAGGCGAGGGAGGAACAGCAGCAATCGCCAGGCTGGTTCTGAGTCCGGGTTGGAGGCTAGGGCTAGAAGGGGGGTCAGGAGGCATTTCGCAAAGGCCTCGCGAATTGCTTTGGGGGGGTGCCTCGCCAGGCTCGGTTGGCGGCTGTCGCTCAGGTGGGACAGGTCCCAGGTAGAAACCTGGTCGAAAAGGTCCCTGCGCTTCGCCAGGTCTGTTGGCGAAAATGTTGGTTGGGTGGGAGGCGGGGAAATTCCAGATCCGGCTCGAATGTTGGTAGCTTGGTTTCTCGCAGATCTGGGCTCCAGCTCTTCCACGCTCTCGTCCTCCGTCGAGGACCCCAAGTTCCCCTCCCCATCGTCCAGATGCCCCAGTTGTGCCGTCCGTGAGTCAGCTGCCTCCCCAGCTCGACTTGGCACCACATCCTCCTGCCGCTGTACCCGCTCTTCCAGCCCCTCCTCCTGTAATCCCCCCACAGCAGCTCCTCCCTCAGCAGCTCCCTCGCCAGCAGCTCCCCCTTCCGCAACTACCACCGCCTGCGCGACCCGATCCGCAGTCCCTGGTTGGTCAGCCCACCGTGGCGCCTCATCCCCTGCGCCTCCCGCCTGGGATATGGTGTGCACCTCCGGGGGGCGGGCCCCCCATGTATCAGACGTTTGTGGAGGCTGCGGATGGCCGCAGGGTTGAGCTCCCGCTGTACGGAATGCCCCCACCTCCCCCCTCGCTTCACCAGCAGCCTCCACCAGCGCAGTCAGGGGCTCCTCCGGGCCCTCAAGTGCAGGCGGCAGGAGCCGCAGCGGTGAAGGCGGCAGGGGCTGAGTCTCCTCCTGCCTCTCCCACTCGGCGATGCGCCTCTCGCCGGCACTCGGGGATCCGCATGGCTCCTCGGCTGACGGTTGGTGGGCTATCTTACCGGCGTGCAGACGTTCCCCGGCTGCTAGAAGTGGAGGGGCATGTCCTTGTTTGTCTCGGCCACGTGATGTCGTATGTGGGAGTCGTTGCCCTGATGATCGACACTGCTGCTGCGGCTCTTGAGGATGTGCCTGTGGAGGCGAGCGTGATGAATCACGCACAGATGCGGGTGTGTCGTGATGGCGCGTGGGTGTTGCAGCATGAGATGGAGCGGGCTGAAATGGAGCCTGGCAGAGAGCCTGCGTTGGGCGCGGCGGCGGCAGATGCGATGGGGGTAGTGGAGACGCGAGTGCGCTCACGGTCAGCCGTATACGTGTTGCGAGGCCTCGCGTCAGCGCTCCGCCTCGTTCATGGGACGGCGGAGCGCCTCCTGCATCGCGCGTTGGTGCAGTGATTGTTGTTTGCCGGTTCCGGCGACGATAGCAAAGAGATGCCGGTGGTGTTGCCATTTTGTTGCCTAGATCTCCGTCGCCTTGCTTGTCCTGAAGGTTGTGTCTTGTTTCTTCATTGTCTCGTCTTGTCCCAGACTCATTTCCCGTTCCCTCTCTCTCTCTCTCCCCCTCTCCCTTCCCCCCCTTTTCTCTCCTTTCTTCCATCCTCCCCCTCTCCCCCCCTTCCTCCCTCAGAACATTATCAAGGATTGATCGCTGCAGCTCTCCCCATGGGACATCAAGTCGTTCATGCGCATGAATGATGAATCACCCTCCCTTAAGCCCTCTGTCCTCCTCTTCCTCTTCCCCCCTTTCCTTACCCTCGGTCCTCCACTCTCACCCCTCTCCCAACCTCCCCTCCCTCCCATGTCTGGCAGAACATCATCAAGGATCGCTCACTGCACCTCTCTCTAGCCGACATCAAGGCATTCATGCGCATGACCCTAGAGGGGCTAGCATACCTGCACGGCAAATGGGTGCTGCACAGGTGGGTGCTGCACAGGAGGGTGAAAGTGTGCTAGTGCAGTGTGCTATACGGGGATGCACGCATGACACTAGCGGGGCCCGCATATTGCCACGGCAAATGGGTTCTGCACAGGTGGGTGCTGCACTGGTGGGTGCTGCACTGGTGGGTGCTGCACTGGTGGGTGGGTGAATCACATGATGGTAATGCCTGATTCTGATCTGTTAAATGTTGGTTTGTCTGATGGTGATTTGTATGATGGTCGTTCTTCCGATGGTGGCTCATCTGATGATGCTTCATTTGATAACACTTCGTCTCAAGAGTCTGATGTTGGTTTTCCTCCCACCTCCCCATGCATTCATGCAGAGATATGCCTTCACACCCTGCCACACCCCTCTTCACACCCTGCCACACCCCTCTTCACACCCTGCCACACCCCTCTTCACACCCTGCCACACCCCTCTTCACACCTTGCTGGTGTCTGCAGCCCTGATGGCAAGCTGGCGCACCACGTGTTTACCAGGCCCTCTTTTCCTACCCCGTCTTCCCCACCCACTCCCCACCCACCCCCTCAGGGACATGAAACCCACCCAACCCAACAATCTCCTCATCGGCCCAACAGGGGAGCTCAAGATCGCTGATTTCATCCCTCGCCACCCCCCACCTCCATCCACTCCCACTTGGCTTGGCCCCCCAACCACCTCTCTTTCTCACCCACTCACTCCACCAACCAACCAACCTCCCCACCACCCCCACAGGGACATGAAGCCCAACAACCTCCTCATCAGCCCAACACGCCATCTCAAGCCCACACCTTCCCACCCACCCCCCACCCACCACCCACCCACCCCCCACCTACCACCCACCCACGCCCCACCCCCACAGGGACATGAAGCCGAACAACCTCCTCATCGACCCAACAGGGGAGCTCAAGATCGCTGATTTCAACCCGCGTACTCTAAACCTTCCCACACCTTCCCACCCACCCCCACCCCTGCCCACATCCCCACCCACAGGGACATGAAGCCCAACAATCTGCTCATCGGCCCAACAGGGGAGCTCAAGATTGCGGATTTCGGCTTTGATCGCCTCTTTGGCAGCCCCGACCGCAAGCTGACCCACCAGGTGTTTGCGCTCTGGTACCGGGCGCCTGAGCTGCTGTTTAGGAGCAAGGCATACGGATCAGGCGTGGACGTGTGGGGGGCCAGCTGCGTCTTCGCTCAGCTGCTGCTCAGACGACCCTTCCTACTTTTCACGCTGTGGCCTTCAGCAAGCTGACCCATCAGATGTTTGCGCTCTGGTACCAGGCGCCTGAGCTGCTGCTCGGCAGCAAGGCTTATGGTTCGGGCGTGGACGTGTGGGGTGCTGTCTGCGTGTTTGCAGAGCTGCTTCTCAGACGACCCTCCCTGCAGGTATGCTCTCCTTTGCTCTCCTCTTCTCTGCTACTCCTAGAACCAGCAAGCTCACCCACCAGGTGTTTGCGCTCTGGTATCGCGCACGTGAGCTGCTATTTGGAAGTAAAGCATATGGGTCAGGCGTGGATGTGTGTTCGCTGAGCTGCTGCTGCGAAGACCTTTCTTACAGGTATTCTCTGCTCTGCTCTGCTCTGCTCTTAGAGCCAGCAAGCTCACCCACCAGGTGTTTGCACTCTGGTATCAGGTGCGCCTGAGCTGCTGTTCGGCAGCAAGGCGTACGGTATAGTGCGGTTAGACATGATCACGAGTCGAGTCGAGTCGAGTCGAGTCGAGCCATAGGCGAGTCAGTTTTTTTAAACTGCCGACTCGTGCTGGACTTCTGAAGTCGAGCCAGTCTTGACTCGAGCACGAGTCATCAACTCGCGAGTCAGTCTTGGCCCCAAATGTTGTGTCGTGATTCGTAGCCGGCATGCAAGGTAGGAATGACGAAATCCCGTCCCTTCCCCTTTCCGCACAGGTAAATTGATACGCACCAAAAATTGGGTGACGGGGGAATTTGCATGACGGGCGGAAATTGGGTGACGGGGGAATTTGTGTGACGGGCGGAAATTGAGTGTCGGGAGGATTTGCGTGTTGAGTGGAAATTGAGTGATGGTCGGAGATTCATTGACGGGGGAAATTGCATGAGGAAAGGAGGGGGGATTGGCAACGGGAATCCACGTGGATAAAATTGGTGGCCCTCGAGTCAGCCCAGCTCGAATGGAGTCAGCCGACTCGCTGACTCGTGGCTCACCAGACTGTTCAATGTGGAGTCGGGTGATGCATCGAGATTTCTCCTCAATTTGACTCGACTGGACTCTAATCGAGTCAGGAAAATAAAAGAACTGACAGGTCGAGTCGAGCCAGCGAGTCGAGCTAAAACTTGCCTCGATTGATCATGTCTACGTGTGGTATCGTGCGCCTGAGCCAAGCTGCTCTCCCTTACCCCACTTTCCTTCCCCAATACCTCTCCCCCTCACCCCCCGCCCTCCCTTTCTGTTGGGGAAGATTTTCGCTGCCCTGGGCACGCCGCGGGAGGACCAATGGCCGGACATGCAGTGTCTGCCCGACTACGTGCATTTCAACTTCTGCCCGGCGCCGCCCCTCAAGTCACACTTCCCCATGGCGGGCGATGACGCCTTAGACCTGCTGTCACACAGCCGCACAAGCCCTGCAGGACCGGTGAGCACACACACATGTGCATGCAGTACAATACATACTGGGACTTACAGCACCGGTGAGTAACTGGGATGGGACTTACAGCACCGGTGAGTAATTGGGATGGGACTTACAGCACCGGTGAGTAACTGGGATGGGACTTACAGCACCGGTGAGTAACTGGGATGGGACTTACAGCACCGGTGAGTAACTGGGATGGGACTTACAGCACCGGTGAGTAACTGGGACTTACGACACTGGTGAGTTTTTGGGATGTGCTCGCATAGGCTCATGCATGCATCCAATCAAGTGCTCGCATAGGCTCATGCATGCATCCAATCAAGTGCTTGCATAGGCTCATGCATGCATCCAATCAAGTGCTCGCATAGGCTCATGCATGCATCCAATCAAGTGCTCGCATAGGCTCATGCATGCATCCAATCAAGTGCTCGCATAGGCTCATGCATGCATCCAATCAAGTGCTCGCATAGGCTCATGCATGCATCCAATCAAGTGCTCGCATAGGCTCATGCATGCATCCAATCAAGTGCTCGCATGGGCTCATGCATGCATCCAATCAAGTGCTCGCATGGGCTCATGCATGCATCCAATCAAGTGCTCGCATAGGCTCATGCATGCATCCAATCAAGTGCTCGCATAGGCTCATGCATGCATCCAATCAAGTGCTCGCATAGGCTCATGCATGCATCCAATCAAGTGCTGTTGCCCCTCAAATCACACTTCCCCATGGTGGCGATGATGCCTTAGACCTGCTCTCCCACGTGCCCACGTTTGACCCGAATAAGAGGATCATAGCGGCTCAAGCTTTACAGCACCGGTGAGTTGGGTTGGTGGGGTGCACTCTCAGAGGCTTGTTCATGAGTGAAGTGCAGTGCTGCCCGGCACCACCCCTCAAGTCACACTTCCCCATGGCGGCTGATGATGACTTAGACCTGCTCTCCCGCATGCTCACCTTTGATCCAAACAAGAGGATTACACCTGCGCAGGCTTTACAGCACCGGTGAGCACACACACGCATGCATGCAAATACAGTGCTTCACATATGCAGCACTGGTGAGTTGGTGGGTTGCTGCCGTCCCTCAGGACGCGTCCCCTGAACACCACACCTGCAATCAATCGTCGAAAATCAAACCTCCACCGCACTAAAACTGTGCACATCGCTTTGTAAATTTATAGAAGCTTTTTTAACAACGCAAAAAATCGAACCTACGTCGGATCGATCTCAAGATCGGCGTTGAGGGGACGCGTCCTCAAGTCGCACTTCCCCATGGATGGCGATGATGCCCTCGACCTGCTCTCCAGGTGTGTTTTGAGTCGACTCAGGTGTGTTTTGAGTCGACTCAGGTGTGTATTGAGTCGACTCGGTGTGTTTTGAGTCGACTCGGTGTGTTTTGAGTCGACTCAGGTGTGTTTTGAGTCGACTCAGGTGTGTTTTGAGTCGACTCAGGTGTGTTTTGAGTCGACTCAGGTGTGTTTTGAGTCGACTCAGGTGTGTTTTGAGTCGACTCAAAACACACCCATCCATGGCTGGCGATGATGCTCTCGACCTGCTCTCCCGCATGCTCACCTTCGACCCCAACAAGAGGATCCCGGCTGCGCGCTCGTCTTAGGTCTTTATGAGGCGCATCTTGTAGTGATTGCAGGCCTTGCAAAACGGGTAAGATGCTCATGTGTGCATGCAGTACTGCATGTGAGAAGCTCATGTATGCATGGTAGTGCAGTCGGCCTCAAGTCGCACTTCCCCAGGGCTAGAGGCGATGCTTTTGACCTGCTCCCTCACATGCTCACCTTTGATCCAAACAAGAGAATCACAGCTGCTCAAGCCCTGCATCACCAGTGAGCACACACACATATGCATGCAGATAGAGTTTTTTACGTATGCAGTAGTGGTGAGTTGTTGGGTTGCAGTCGCTCCTCAAGTCCCATTTCCCCAGGGCTAGAGATGATGTTCTCAACTTGCTCTCTCGCATGCTCACCTTTGATCCAAACAAGAGAGTTACAGCCACACAAGCCCTGCAGCACCGGTGAGCACCACATGTGTGCATGCAGTGCTGTGGCATATGCATGGTAGTGCTGCCGGCCCTCAAGTCGCACTTCTCCATGGCTGGCAATGATGCTCTGAACCTGCTCTGGCTTCACAGCACTGGTGAGGATCCCATGGTGGGGTGCGCTAACATACCCCCTCATGCTTGTTAGACACAGTCTAACATAGCCTCATACATGCAGTCAAGTGCAGAGCGGTCGCCCCTCAGTGCCATCGACCTGCTCTCCTGCATTGAGGGGCTCACCCTCGATCCCAACAAGCGCATCACAGCTACCAAGCCAGCCACCAGGCCCAAGGACCTGCCGCGCCCTCCCTGTCTGTATATGATGAGTGTTAGTGGAACGGTAGGTCTCACCACCCACCTGCCATCCGCACCCCCTCTCCCACTCTGTTCCCCCCCACCCAACCAGCCACTTCCTGCTCGGCCCACCAGCCACAAAGCCCAAGGACCTGCCGCGCCCGCCTCCAAAGCCCTCTGGCAGCGACTTCCCCCCCGGCTCCATCCCTGTTGGGCTGGCGCCTCTTGCCCCAGATGCATCTGCTGCTCTTGATGCTGCTAATGGTGCTACTGGTGCTGGTGGTGGTGCTGGTGGTGGTGGTGGTGATGCGAGACGGGAAGGGAAGGCTTGTGGAGCAACAGGAGCAGCAGCAGCTGGTGCTAATACAGGGCGTAGGCATCTCCCCCCTTCAGTAGAGTCACCCCACTATCCCCGCAACCTCTCACCGGCCACTAAGGCCGTTCGTATATCCCTTCAACCAGGGATAGAAGACAGCGAGGGGGGCGAGGGGAGAGGGAAGGCTGGGGAGGCTGTTGGGGAGGGGAGGGATGGGAGAGGAGCAGTGGAGGGGAGTGGGGCGGAAGGGGAGACGCCGAGTGAGGTGACAATGGTTACGGCGGTTACTGGGGGAGGGGATGGAGTGCCGATGTTGGTTGATATTGGTGTTCCCTCCAGGGTCGGTTCTGCCACCCAGACCAAAACTGAACTGGTACGATAAGGATTTTCTGTCGCAACGTATAATCCAATGTTGGTGCACGATACGTACTGTGTTACATGGTGAGGTGATAATTTTCTTATCCTCCACTCGCTCCATTTGCTCACTGTTTAAACCCCGTTACAGAGATGACAGGCTGGCTTTGCACAAACGTAAACTGAACGATGAATTTGACACTGTTTAGAAACAGTGATTTCTTCCCAAAACCATTTCCGAGTCGTCCCCGTATTTCCCGCCACCCTTCCACACCTATTTTAGGCGAGGGCCTGGCTCGTTTTCGCCCTGTTCTAGCTCGTTCCAATGTAATTGTAGTCACTCAGTATTTCTACCCAGTTATTTTTTCCGCTGTCTGTTGATTAGCACACTCAGAAGTGCACGTATTTTGCCTTTTTGCAAATGCAACTTATTTTGGGCCTAGCGCCATATCTTCTTAACGAATTCTGTTCTCTATCACGGTATCAATTCGCGGTGTATCAGCAGAAGTGGTCGTCTCTTACTCCAGACAAACATCTACCGACTTGACAATGCTATAGCGAGAGTTTATGATTGCGAAGTGGTGTGGTGAGATGGTAGGCAAGCTAAGGGCGCGATGCTTTTGAGTCCAAGTTCGAAAAACAGGTCGAGCTTGAGCTGGTTACTGACCTTCCCACGTAAGTCAAAGTTCCCAGTCAAAGTTTGAGTATCAGCCTAGCAAGTCGAGTAACCATACAGTCAGTCGACTGCGTGTTCGGACGTGCATTCGATGCATGCTCTCGAACGTGGTCATTTCTGTCCCGTTCAGTAGCTGCACGAACCAGGCGAAGCGTGACGACACGTGCACTCCTTGTTTGGGGGACGACGCCAGAACCACAAAGGTAAATCGGGTAACCTAATGCTATGTTCGCGGCTCGGAGAGGGTCGAATTTCATTTCTCCACCCTCGTCTTTCGCATTTTGAAATTAAAATCGGGCCCGCGAATCGAACCTCATATATATATATACATTTTGCATTTCACTATAAAGCGAGTACATCCACAGTCGTAACTGTAAGGGCGAAGGGGACTGGTAAACGACAGGCATCTACACGACCCTTCCTTAGCAGCTTATGGTGGTTGAAAGGTCGTTCTCGGGTTGGACCACACCGATCTGAACCCTTCTCTCCACGTCAGCGTGCCTTCATCTGCAAATATCCGGCCCAACATCATGGCCTCGTCCTGCTCCAGATAGGTCCAGCTCTGCTCTACCCCTCTCCTGTCATGCTTTGCCACCTGTTTCTTGTAAGCGTTGTAAATCCGGACGTGTTTCATGAAGTTCGTATCGATTTTCCGGAGCACCCTCTGCGGTTGAAACTTGCCCTGACAAAATGCCGCTTCGCAGCGCTCCAGCCAGACTTGGTGGAATGCCACAGCGATCAACGGTTTTTCCGGGAAGCCTGATTTAGTGCCATCCTCTGTGAACAGAAAGTCTTCCAGACTCCCCACCTTCCTGTTTGGATTCATCTGCAACAGTGCCCCCCTGAGCGCGCCGATGACAGGCTGTATGCTGACACAGTCCAGCAGGCAGTGCGCTAGGGTTTCGTCCTGTCCACAGTGCGGGCAGCTGATTTGCTCCTTCATGAACCGCAGCCTTTCCCCCACCTGAAGGTTCTTGCTGTGCAGCCGTAGAATGATTTCACGCGGTCTGCCCGTTGTGACCAACGTATCACGTTTCCGTATAGTTTCTTTCCAGTCGATGGGCCTGCCGTACTCTTGCTCCCACTTCTTTTGCTGCTTTGGCTGCTCCACCGCCCCCTTCAATACAGCTCTCAGTTTCTTCACAGGAGCAAATAAAAAACTCATAAAATTAACTATTCGACTTCACAATTGAACTTTGAAAAGGGGTGAAATCGATTTAAAAAAAAAAAGCAACCTTTGGGATTTTCGTCAAAAGGAACGCGCCCTGAACCAAGCATGATGAAGAATGGCGAACCGCGCAATTATTTGTTTGCCAGGGGATGGTTACGCGGGCCAATATTCTCTGAAAATCGGAGTTTCCTGCATTACCATCGCCAGCAGGTCAATTGGCTTCGCGAGGGTGTTCTGATTCGCCTAAACACTGGGTTGCGACCTCGTCGCAGCTGTTCCCTGAGAGTATCCTTTCGCCAAGCGCACAGCTTCGCAAAAACATTAAACCCAATCGCACCACAGGAACACGCTGCAGGTGCACCTCCCAAGCAGGAGATGCTCCTCACAGCGCAATAAACTGCACCAATAATCGCATGCTTAGAAGCTCGCTCTGGCGTTACGGGCATCGCCCTGCTCATACACCGCAACGTCCTTCACAGCGCAATAATCGCACCAATAATCGCGCGCGTCGAAGTTTCCTACCCGGCGCATTCAACTTTCGCACAAGCGGAGCGATGAACCCCCGCAATGGTGAGCTTGCACCAGTATTTAGCTGTCGCACTTCCGATCATCAATTTCAGGGCACCAAGGGCAAATACTCAAACTAGGACTAGCAGTATTGTTTGGAATCGTCAACCGCCATGGCTGCGCTTCGAAATCTCTTGGTGCTTCTGAGTACGTTTCTAGTCGCCGTGCACCTGCCCGCGGCCGTGACGGCGGATGTCGCGAACCCCATTTTCGCCTCAATCTTTGGGCATGACCTAGACTCCCGCGAGACGCTGGCGGTAGACGTGCGCAAGAACGTGAATGTGAGAGCGATCCGTTATAAGATGCGCACCCTCATGGAGGTAAACAAGGAGTCGTCGCATGCGGGGGCTGTTCGCGATATGGCGGCGGACGCCACGGTCTACGCGCTACAGGGGGGAGGCGCGGATGCTGATGTGGCAACGGAGAAGACGAGGAGGATGCTGAAGAGGGAGAAGGGCGAGAACGAGAGGAAGGATGAGGGGCATGATTGGAAGGATGAGGGGAATAAGAGGAAGGAGGAGGAAAATAAGAGGAAGGATGAGGAGAATAAGAGGAGGGATGATGAGAATAAGAGAAAGGATGGGGAGAATAAGAGGAAAGACGAGGAGAACAAGAGGAAGGATGAGGATAATAAGAAGAAGGATGAGAAGAACAGGAGGAAGGCTAAGGAGAATAAGAGGAAGGACGAGGAGAATAACATCGCGAAAATGGAAAGTCCGAAAAGCAAATCGAAATAGACTTTTACTCAACATTCCCGATATTTTTTTCCCGGCACTTTTGAGTCAAGGTTTTAGATCTGCATGGCGACAGTCACTTACAAAGCAACTTTGTTTCCACTTTCCCGCGACATTCTGTACATATGCGTGCATCAAATTAGCCACTGCACCCGCATCTGCGCAGTTGCTAAACAGAAACGGGCTGCGCCACACAAAAGTTTACCTAACCATACCGTGCCAACCAACTAGAAAGCGACGAGTACGCAACCCCAACTGCCACTCCGTACGCGCACACCCACGTGGCACCCTGTTTCAACCCGCACGGCCACGTCAGCGTACATGCACCAAAACGTACCCGCACCCCAACCGTTGGATGAACACTCGGGTCACGCAATCTCAACGGTTCACGTGTCGCCTGCACATAAATTCGCACACCACGTTACGACTTCGCGAACACTAACTCGCACATGCTCGCGCCAACCCCGCGCGCGGTTCTGCACCGTACATCTGATGGACGCACATCCAGTACACAGTTGACAGTTGGAGGCAACCCACAGGGGTGCTAACCGCAAGTCACGCCGCTGATACCCACTAGCATGCTACCACGTGGCCTCACTACACTTGCGCATTCCCCGTCCGCACCCTGCACTACATTGCATAATCACCGTACACCTGTCGCGTCGCCCCCGTATCATACACTTCGCCAGCTTTATCGCCAACCAGTAGTAACGCACGCGCGACTACCTGTCGACGCCATCTGCATCGTCCATCTGTGTACATCGTATCCACCACCGTGCTGACACGTCACACATAATTAATCGATCTACCCCGTACACTTGCCGTGCGATCGTGTACTCGCACATACAGTAACCCTAAACCATCTCATCGTGGCTCGCGTTCGCGACGTCTTCGCTAATCAATCACAACCGAACATCAGTCGCACTCTAACCGCATATCACATCGAGTCCCCCCCGTCAACCTCAACTTCGCCTTCGCTCCGTGCGGTGACACGCGTACGTGAGCGCATGCAACCATTGTATGCAATCGGTGGGTCCTCATTTCTTATCCATCGCATCCAATCAGATGTCCATGCTTGCGCACCGCGGATGCTTTTACGGCCACACATTACCGTGTCACCTGCCACGTTCCGTGAAAAGCGCCGCAAATTGCGGCGCGGTCTACGCCAAACAAAACACCTGGTTGACTGTCTTCCCGATATATTTCGCAACCGATGGGTATCCTTGTTGTCCTGTCAAATGCGTCTATACCCCAATGAATACTTCTCCCATTAACAACATACACACACACAAGCATACAACGTAGCCATGCATATAAATAACCCCACTAGCTTCAGAGCCCACACATGCAACATCCAGCGCCCACGAAAAAGCCTGCTCAAACCCCTGACACGGAACCGATAATGATGCCTTCCACGACACCAGCCACCTGTCCCACCAACGGTGCGTGCCTCAATGTTTAACGCCCCCACACGCCCGTCGGCCTACTCATCACCAACTGACGCCGAGAGGTCGTCGTCCCCCGCAGGCTCTTCGGACTGAGCTGCGGCGGTGGGCTTCATGTGCTCCAGGCCGCACGCAGAGATGCGCAGTCCATGGCGCCCCCAGATCCACGCCTCTCGCTCCGCGTCATACTCCGGGTTGCGGATCCTGATCGCCCTCTCCACGGCCTCCTTCACCAGGACCTTGAGGCCGTCCACGACGTGTGCGTTGCCGCCGGCCGAGTTGGAAAGCCGGCCTTTCCTCTCCTCCCAGTAGAGGACGCAGTCGGAGACCTGCGCATCCACCACCCAGCGTGTCACCCAAATGGTCCGACAGTACAACGCGAAAACATGGCTCACATAGAGCGCACAGACTCACCACATGCTCCAACCAGGCCAGGTGGTACACCTTCAGTGTCATCACCAGCCCGGCCTTCTTGGGCCTGAATGCAGCCTTCGCACATGTCGCGAATGTCCGGGAGGCAAACGGCATGCCATCAGGGTCGTTCGCCCAGCTCGTGAGCACCAGGGTTTCTGCACACCACATGCGCACTGTCTGTGTCAGCGGCCGCCAACCACGAGGTGGTCAGCATAACCATACGTAGGTAACCCTCTCTGCTGTGGTAGAATGCACTCACCAGGGGGGTCAGCGCCAAGACCAATGCGCTCCCTGATCTTATCGATACTGCGTGCCTTCTCGGGCGCCCATGGGCTGCATGCGTCCCTGTCGTCGCGGAACAATCCGAGCTTGGGAAGTGCAATGTCTCGCACGCGTGCGGCAGCCCTTGTCTTCCACTCAGAGAGCGTCTTGTTGAGATCCGCGCGACGCGACTTGTCAGCCGCCAACGCCAAACAGGCGAAGCTATGCGGCAGGCGGTCCAGCACCGCACACACTCCGTGAGTCTTATCGTCGCTGCTCGGGTAGAAGGTCATCGTCGACGTCGGCCTGTTGAGAAACATGTGCACACTGGCCAGCTTGCAAACCCTCTGCGCACATACGGTGTACACAAAACATAATATAAGTGCAAACCGGTAACCATCAACTGACCCACATGGCAGCCCAACACGACGAACGGAAATAGGGCCTCAGCGGTAACATGCCCGCTCACCTTCCACGCCTTGTCCGTCGGCAAATGCTCCAACACGCGTTGTAGAATAGGAGACTTGGTGGTACGCATATGACGGCCACCAGAACCATGCGTGTCGTCATCGTCATCCTCGCCGTCGCCGTCGGACCCGCCACTCCACGTCTCACCACGCTGATGCTTCGGGTTCATACAACCCTGCCCCGGGTCTCTCTGCTTCTGAGCCTTATGCTTACGAGAGCCACCGGAAGGCCGAGACATCGCATTCAAGAACAGCGCCTCCAACCGCGCGTTCTCCTTGGCGCTCTTGTCCTGCGCCTGTATGAGTTGCTCGAGGATCCGGCTAGGGATGCGCACGTCATCGCCGTTGGCGTCCAAGGTGTTCACGCGTGTGCGGCCAACAAGTCCGTCCGCCTGTCCTCGGCCGTCGCCTCGAGCCACATCCGTGTCCCGCGCATCTTGATGTGTGCGCATGTCAGCATTGGCCGCGGATATTCCCACACATCCATCGTCGTTCGTCTTCCCTCCAGCACCCAGGTCGGCGGATTCCTCGTGTGATCCTGACGCAGATGTGTCGTCGCTTTCCTCGTCCTCTTCCTCACTGTGCTCCGACGAATCTGCACTCTCTGCACCCGTGCCGTCATCTGTGGGTGAGAGAAACACCAGGGAAGCACAACACCACAAGTTAGCATCTTGCGTTACTCCATTGTTCGACGGCGTTACAACATCGCGTGCAACAAACTTCGGGACTCATCCACACAAGCTCGTTCTGCATACCTTGCTCTGAATGTGCCACCTCCTTTCCCTTATTGGACAAGCTCAGGCGCTTGGGAACGGTCGCCCCACGCTTCCCGTTCGACAGCCGACCTCGCGGCATCGTCAACTGGTATGACGAACGCAGGTATGCCGGCGGTTGCGAGACACGACGTGAGCGGCCTCCGGCCCTCGTATCCTCGGAAGCCATCGAGGTCTCCATTATAGCAATTGAAGTATCTAGTGAGATGCTTTGATAGTGACGCGCTACCCATTTTTCTACGTAGAGTTGGGAGCTCAACTTCCAAACACACCGCGACACCGTTTACTCGAGGAGTTTGGTAGCCAGGAATACCTCGTGCACATCTGGACGTCCGCAACCCAAAACGTCCAATGAGTGAACAGCACGTCATCCTATCAGTGACGGGTGTCCATAGCAGAACCATACACTGCGCACATCGTGGTGACACAACCGTATCCATGCACCTCGTTTGTGCGAACACTAGTATAGACATACGGTTTCCGGTATTCATGGATTCCATAAACCTTTTCCGACATTCAGCACACCAACTGCACGATAACGCATCCATCTAACAAAACAACCCGGACACACCGTGTAATCACAATCTTTAGCATTGATCGCACATGCATACAACCACATAAGCACCCTATGAAGATCAGCTAGTGCAACGCAGATATAAGGAAATACACGCACCGACAAGTATCTCACATGCTTTGACTCCACAACCACTATGCCGCCGTGGCTGCCGTCTTCTCGTGTGCACCACTGTCTCCCTGTCGCTCTTCCTGGTCATTTTCCTTTGCACCTCCGCCGTGCCCGTTGCTCAAGGGGGCCGTCCCCCCACTCTCAGCATTCTCCGGGGCCGCCAGTTCGTTGGTTGCCGTGTCGTTGTTATCCACCATCCTGGGCCTCTTTGATGTACCTGTGTCACCCCCACGCTTCCTCCCTCGTTTCAGCCTGCTGCTCACGCTCTCCAGCGCCTCACGCCAGCTCCGCCACCTCCACCACTTCCTCGCTTCCACCAGTATCTGCAAATCTTCTTTGGTGCATCCACGCAGCATCGCCTTCTCGGCTGCTGACAGGGTGACTGTGTTGGATATCCTGTCGCGTGGCCTCAGCACGAACGCACCTGCGGCGTACGCGAATGCCGCCTCTTCCTCCGTCGTGTACGCTCCCAGGCGCTGCTGCTTACGCTTTCCACGTTCTTTGATCAAGATCTTGACGCCGAACTTGCCAGTCCGTTTGTCCAGCTTCACACCCGTGTACGTGGTTGCACACGTATCCTCGTCCTCGCCATCGTCGTCTGAGTCTGACACGAGATCCTCCTCCTCTTCGCCCTTCACCGTCTCCTGTCCGAGCTTGTCTCCCCACGCGTAATCTCCAGCTGGCACACCCGTCCCGAGCAGCTGCCTCCCGCGCGTGAACATCCAGTGAGGTATGGCACCGTGGGAGAGCAGCGGGTTCGGCAGCAGGCTCGATGTCGGCTCACATGCAGCGAACGTGGAGGCCAGCGCTACCCGGGTGCCGTTGCGTACGCCATCCTCCTCAGGACTGCTGTCATCCCGCCTCTTACGGGCAGACGGACGCTGTGGTGTGCGTGGCGCAGTCTTGTTGCCACCCGCCTCTGCATTCGTGCCGGTACCCGCGAGACCGCCTTGCAGCAGCAGTTGGGTTGCAGCGGACACGACCTCGTCCCGCCTCAGTCCCACAAAGTTGGCGATCACGGTGAAGCTGGCGTTCAGGTACCTCACATCGTTCGTCAATGAGGCTACACGCCTCATCACCTCCGTAACCCGTGCGTCCTCCACAGGGCGAGTGACCGGTGCCGGCCTCCCATCTCCCACAGCAGCGTTCTTCACCTGCACCACTGTACCCTCATCGGTAACCCGGCCTTCGTCCTGCGGGGGGATCTCAATTCCCAGGTCCTGCAGCTGTTTCAAAAGAGCGCCGCTCGCGTGTGCACACAGGTCGCGCCGCATCTCCCGTCTGTATTGGTGCGGTGTCACACCCTGGAACCAGAGGCCCGAAAGAACCGTGGCGAAGTCGGTATTCACCAGGGTCTTGAGGTACTGGCAAACAAAAATCCCACAGTCCTCCTTGTTAGGCTGCTGTGGCAGCTTATCCTCCTGCCAATATGGGAACGCACACCATGTTTATTAGTCTGCATACATGCATGTGCAAACCGCACATTGGTGTCCCCAATAAACATCGCATACTGACCCGTAAAATTATGCAGTCCGCCTCCTTCAGCGTCTTGTCCACAAACTCCATGTTCGCGCTTGGGTTGCTCGCCTTTGCGAGCTCAGACAGCACACTGAACGCAACAGGTCAACTGGTATTAATATACAGATCAAGCAAGGCTACTGTATACGAACTTATTCACACCCAGACTCACAGCTTTGTTCCTGCAAAAATCTTGCGGCTGTTCCGATTCTTGATCGCGCTGTCCATCAAGACCAACGTCAAGCGCTCTTTTCCCTTCGATTTCGGCGACTTGGTGAGCACCGATGGATTTATAGCGATGACGAGCGAATAGTGCTCACTGCGCGCAATATGAGCGGTGTTAAATGTGTTCGTGGATAGACAGTACACCATGGCACACCACAGAAACCCATCAAAAAACACGTTACGCACGATACTCACGATTCTAGCACCGGGATCGCCAGATAATCGTGTTCCACAAGCGGCCGCCCGTTCCCAAGAGTCAACGGCGCTCCACACGCATTCGTCTGTGTGTAAGCCCTGCAGTCCATGGCGGCCCATGTCTTCCCGTTGCGGAGCGTTGGTTTCCTGATGCTAAGCAGCCTGCGAAGACAGGCATCAGTAACAAAAGCCCGCGTAAAGGGTGCGGCCGTCATAACGGTACTTACACGTTGTGGAAGTCGATAACCCCATCTGTAATCCACTGATCGTCCTCGATGGACATGAAGTCGTCCTTATCCACCTCGCATCCGACACCGCGGTGATTCATGAGCATCACGTTGCTGTAAGATGCCTTCATATAATTCCGGGCGATAGCGGCCACCATGTTGTCCGGCACGGGCTCCTTCGCCTTTTCCACAACATGAGACGCGAACCTAGAAGCCCTTCCGGAGTCCTTCGTCGGCGGGCTGGGAGCAGTAGTATTGTCGCCCTTGTTCGACGCCCTAGATCTGGTGACGGGCGGGTCGGGATCTTCGTCATCGCTGCTGCTGCTAGTCTCCGGTTCATAGAACCGGTTGCGCTTAGAGACCAACTGTTTAGGATTCGCCATCTAGAACGAGCACTCACTACCATTCGGAGGACGCTGAGTCATTAATAGGTGAGCACGGAGGGGATGACTGGGTGAGCACAGCTACTCACGGATCTCGCGACAGTGGCCCTATTCGGAATGAAGGGGAGAGCAGGGCGTCACCCATGCCTTTCGTGCCAAGCTGGTGCGAACGTCATGCATATGCTCAATGATCCACACCGTTGGCGGAGAATCGCATACGATGCACCAGGTGTGATTGGACAGCTCGCCTGGATGTGATGGTGAGGTCACATGCAGATCCACGTGTGATGAGCCTAGGGTTTCGGAATACGTGGTCCGAGGTTTGGGTGGGTCACCAAACCTGGTGCATGGTGGTTTGGCCAGTTGTGGCCCGATTTTCTTGTACAATCCGAATGACGCGGAATCCGATAACGACGTACGCGGTAGGGGGCGCATGGGTCGTTGTGTTCTTAGGGCGCGCCAAGCCTCGATTATAATCCGTCGTTGTGCTATGGGTTGAGATAATCGTGTACTGGTAGACGCGGTTATTCAATGTCTTGCTATAGTTCTATGTTGGGTAAAAAATGGGTGGGTGTATACGTGCATTGCGCGACATTGCATAGGAAATTGCAGAACAACTTTGGGTTCGTGGTGTTTGTATGTACACATATTCAGTCCTTGGTTCTCGACACATCGGGACATGCGTATTTTTTTTTTTAAGAAAAAAATAATTAAAGGACGTAGATATAGTGCTTTTATTAAATAGCAAATCCTCATGGTGAGGTGTATATTGATTACGTGTAACACATGACCCGTTGTTTCCTGCACACGATTCACGTCTTCCTGCACCTGTGTGTGCGATAAGTTGTTCCTGTGAGTTGTATTAGTGCGCACATGAGGTACTGAACAGGGTTTTGATTGCTGGGCCCCCTAGGGTTTCACGGCTGTAGGATGACGGGCAACAGTTGCCTGGTGTGCGAGACGGTGTTTAAAGACGACAGCAGGTTACAGTCTCACGTCGCTAATGGTGCAGTTTGTCGCGCCGAGTTGAAGAGGAAACGAGAGAGTCTTTTGCTAGCTGCATATTTGGAAGCCCTTGCATGTGACGGAGAGAGCAGACCTAACACACCGCCGGCCTCCCGGCGTAAGGAGAATGATGATGGCAGTTTTGTATCTGTTGCTCCAACGGCTTCGCTCCCCGAAGTCAGTCTTGTTGGCGACGAGGATACACCCGCTGACGGCGAACCTGCAGAGTCTTCGGAAGACAGCGTGAGGGCGGAGATTTTCGATACACTGACGGAGTTGTACCTTTTCTTCCCGGACGCCGATCTTTCGCACAGGGAGGTTAACCGTCTGCTACACATTTTCCGCAATCCGCGCTTCAACCTACGGGCCCTCAGACGATGGCGCAACTGGGTGGACGTGCGACGCTGGGGCATGGCGCGAGCTCCCGCCGACATGGTCTCTTCGAAAACGGAGGAAATAGTGGTGCGGGGCCCCAAAGGAATGCAAATGAAGCTGCTACTGCACTTCCGCGACACAGATCTGGTTTGTAATAGGAGCCCAACCCAGCTCACGACGTCGTAATGAAGTGTTGCCCGTGATCACCGTTCATTACCTACCATAACTCACACCTGAGTCCACCTCGATGCCCGCAGATTTTGAAGAAGCTGGTGCGGACGTTCTCATCGAAGAAGGGGTGCGTTTGGAAACCAAGGAAGATTCATCGGAAGAAGAACAACGAGAGGGTTTTTGAAGGACCGGAGACGGGTGATTGGATGCACGCTGCCCAGGTACGCGCAGCGTTTAGCCTCTCCCCATTTCTTGTGGATTACAAAACGCACGATGCAGTCGAATACCCACAGCTCACCGACACGTGTGGTGCACATGGCAGAAGGAGATTAATGACGAGGATGCACTCATTCTAGGCGTGCTGATATACAGTGATAGCACCCAGGCATCACGGAATGGCAGGAGGAACGCGTGGCCGGTGCTGATCTCACTTATCAACATTCCTGCGGAATTGCGTGGAGTGGAGCCTGGGCACACATTGGCGGCGGTGCTTCCGTTCCCACCTGAGTGGGCATCGCCTACGGAGAAGACGCGCGTCTTCCAGGAGGCACTAAAGATCATCCTCGCGCCCATCATGCGAGAGTCTGCAAGGTACACTGGGGGGAGAGGGGTGGTGTTGAATATGCTACACGTAGTCGCCCGTGGTGGGCACCCCATCAAGTAGTGAGTGGAGAGAGGACACCGAGTTGTGTATATGTGACATCACTAACTGCACACCATCGCGTTCGCATTTGTACACTGCGCAGCGCGCCAGTTCGCTTCTTCTACTGCACAGACGCGGATGGTAAGGTGCACAAGGCGGTCCCTTGCCTGTACGGATACCCTGCCGACTTCCCTGAGTCCAGCAGAGCATCTGCGACGCTTCAGCAAGGGTCGCATCGACCATGCGCTAACTGCTATGCAGACAAGGGGGAGTTGACCATGATGGTGGGGAAGGTAGATCCACGTACCCCCGAGAAGCAGAGGAACATTGTCCGACAGATCCTGGCGTGTAAGACGCAAAGCCACGCTGACGAGGTGCGGAAGTTGTGGTCAACCCATCCGATCGAGGTTTGTTTCGAGTTGGATAGGATCCTGGTGTTGTATCACAGTGGGCACGTTTTGACACCGTCGTGTCCTCCGTTGCACCGTGCAGTGCGTGCTTCACAGGTGGAATTTCGCAGACACAGAGTGGGGCAACGTGTATCTGGCATGCCTTGCAGACACACTGCATGTTCTGGACTCTGATGTGATGATCCACATGATGGACACCTACATAGAGCCGCTCGGGAAGGTTGAGATGCGGCTGCTTGAACGGTGAGCCGGGTGTTGCTGGGTGGTCGAACTGGGCATGCTCTACCATGCCGGGGTCAGTTGGGTTGTAGGACACCATGTGTGCCGCTACATGAGCTCCTCGAATCCGTGTTGTGCGCAGACGCAAGAAGGAGTTCAAGGCCATCACGCCTAGCGTTCTCCTCCGAATCCCAGGGGGCTCATCGTTCTTCAGTTCAGGCGCAAATTACGCCGCGTTCGAGCACAGGAGCATGATGCAGATAATGCCGATATTGGTGGCTGACGAGAGTGCATTGAAGGGTGGAGAGGAGGGAGAGCTGCGTGCTTTGCAGGTCAAAGCGTTCCGGCTGTTTGCTGTGTTTTACAAGGCGTTTCTGGGGGTTGACAGGCACACACATACAATAATTGCGATTGCCCGTCAGCATGCGATAGCGTGAGTACATACATGAGTTCTTTGAGTGGTTGGTCGGGGTGCTGGGAGCGTGTGCGGTTTGATTGTGCGGCCACTGTGGGGTGATACACGATGGTTCATCGAGTGTTGTATGCTTTTGTGGACGGTGTGGCAGGTTGGTGGAGTTGCTACCGCGGGCATTTCCAAAGCAGGCATCCCACTGGAGACTCCCAAAGATACACATGATAAGGCATTTACTGGACAACGTTGTGCACCGTGGGATGCCGCACCATTATTCCACGGAAATGTGGGAGCGCACGCACAAGGGCACGGTTAAGGGTCCAGTAAGAGGGAGCAACTGGAGCGACATTCCACGCCGCATTGTGGAGGAGGAGGTGCAGCGAGAGGTGTACCGTGAAGTTGCTGCAGACGCGGGGGGTGGGCGACAGTACGCGACCGCATTGAGCGAGGTGCGTACGGGTGTTCTTGGTACTGTGATGGCCAATGGGAGTATACAGTGGAGCGGTTTACCAGGGAAGAGCCGTGCCTCAAGCGGTATGCGGTTTGTTGTGGGCATATGGGCGTCATGTGCAGGCAATCAAGACGAGGAAACCGGTGCTTACAAAGAAGTATCGCATAGGCGGGGAGTCGGATCCAGTGTATGATGAGTACACCGCCGCGCTTGGAGACGAGATGAAGGGGATGGCCGATGAGTTCAAGGCGTTGGGGCTGTCTACCAACAACATGCAGGTGAGGTGATGCTGTTGTAGCGTTACATGACGCATCCGGGGTTGTCACGTTGGTTGTCACTGCACTCATGATGCTATGTGATGATGGATTGGGTTCCATGGTGTGACAGGTCCACACGGCGGTGGCTATTCCGCGCACAAGGGGCAGAGAGCTAGTGGCAAAAGGGACATTTGTGAAGGCGTCTCCCCGAGAGAGGTGGTATTCGGACGTGGCACTGCTGAACAACAAGAAGGGAGACTGGTTTGCAAGATGTCTGTGCATCTTCAGGGCGGTTGACCGTGATGGGGAGTGGAAGGGGTACGCATACGTGCGGTACTATGAGGGGGCGGGAATATGCAAGCTTACGGGGTGCAAGCAGCTGCACAAGCAAGTGGAGAAGGTGAGGTACTCGGTGGTGGAGTTGAGGAGCCTGCAGAGAGTGGTGCACGTGTGCCCTTCGTATAGCAACAAGAAGGTGCAATTAGTGAACAGGTTTTTGCTATGTGAGTGACGATGCATGTTGGTGGGGTGGAACGGCAGTGCTGATCCACATGGTTGGCAAACAACACGATATACGATTTAGCTGCGTGGAATGCAGGATTGATGGGTACTGGAATGCAGTAGGTAGACGAAAGTGTGCTTGGAATTGATGGTGACATGGGTATGGTGTGTTGCAGTTGGTGAAAGGCCATAGACACGGATGATATAATATGCACACATGTCCATGTCAGTACGATGGCCAATTGTGCATGGGTAGGCCGCACAGATGACGTATGCTCAATGTTAATGCAGGTGTATAAACAGAATGTTAATTGTGCTTGCAGTTTGAATGTCAGGTACATAACGGGTATGAGTACAGTTGACGTTTGTGCGGTCGAGGTTGACGCGCTTCAATGTGTGGTGGTGTGAACGACCGAGCACAGGCCGTTGGCTGATCGGATATGGGTGACGCGTACGTGGCGTCGGGGATGCGAGATGGCCTATCTTCACGTTACGGGTGGGCGTTTCACATGTGTGCGTTATCGTCGAGCGGCGCAGGGGTAGTGTTCTGTTTGTTGTGTGGCGCATGTCAACCGATGTACGCAGTGTGCGTACAGGGGCAAAATGGGGGTACGTTCCGGTAGAGTGAAACATATCTAGTACGGGGTCTTCCGGCCTTCAAAGCATAATTGCCAACCTGGTTGTCAGAGTGCTACAATGGGTGACCTGAAGGGACTGCTGGCTACCGCGCATCCGGACGACGTGTTCTGCTTCCACGAGATTAATTTTCTCCCGAGCCGGCTTTCGAAGACATACATTCCGGATAAGCGCGTTGGGGCGGAGCGGATTGTCAGCGTCGGCATTCTTTACAACGCGACGGGGAGTTGTTCCGCGGTGCCTCTGGTTGTTCTATCGCCGTACGATAGGCCCGAGCGCAGGCGGGGGAGCGCGGCATGTCGCAAGGTGGCCGTCCGGTATACGCATCGCGGGCGGTTGACGCCGGAGGTACGGGACAATGTGTACTCAGTGTGCACCGTGCGTGTTTGACATGTGCATCGTGTGTGCGTACCGTACATATGATGGTGTTGTGCGTTCTGTCTGATGTTGTGCACACAGGTGTTCACGGAGTTCGTGGAGACTGTAAATGGTGTGCACTTCAGCCGTGATCGCAACACCCTCATCCTAACCATTCACGAGGCGCATCGCATCACAGGCGAGGTCACGCGACCCGTCACGGAGCACGGCTTCAGTATGCAGCACCTCACCAACACCCGAATCGTCAACATTCGTGGGTCGGTTCCTGAAGGGGGCCTTCCGCACCTGCAGGGAGTGGAGGATGCGCTGAAGGGCCATTACCGCGTTATGCTCATGAAGCGTGCGATAGCGGCGAAGCGGTTCCAGTTCGACTATTCGGCATCCATCGCTGACGTGGATTATGGCCTCATGCTCGAGTGGCTGGGAGAAGCGTGGACTCGCGTGCGCGCAGCAACCATGCAGAGGAGCTGGTGGCGCGCCGGATGCGTGCCCCCGAGCTGGCCGCCACTGATGGCGTACCTGAGTGACACGAGCGCAACGGGCATGTTTGAGCCCCTCATTGCGATATGCGTCGAGCTGCAGTTGCTCATCGAGAAGTTCAAGATGAGGCATGCGCGCTTTATGACGGCGGCCGAGTTCGTCAACCGCGAGGCGGGACTCTGCGTGGAGCAGGGGTTCAGGGCCACACCTGCGGCCAGCGCGTCGGATGACTCGTCGGGCGAGATGAGCCTACCAGACGGCCCACTGCTGCGTGACGAGCGCAGCAGGCGGCGCGTGATTCGCAACGTAACAAATGCGTACGTGGAGCGTGCCTATGCGCTCGGCATTCCCCCGGCCCTCGTGCCAGCAGAGGTCGGAGCATCTAACCAGGAGGTGATTTCCCGCCTCGGCAGGACGCCAATCAAGCGTGCGCGCACGGGGATGCGCCCTGAGGACGTGCCAGACCCAGCGGTGCGCGAGACTGAGGACGACGAGTGATGCAGTTGCTTGCAGTGGGACAAAGTAGTGGGAGTTGTGTGTGCGCGGTACCGTACGATTGGTTGACGGGTGTGGGGTTGTCTTGTTGATGTAATAGTCGTTGTTATGGGAGAACATTTGGAATGGAGTTTTCAACCCATGTTTGGCATTTGTGTGTAAGGGTCAACTTTGTTTGCGATAAGAGGTTATACAGTGACAGAATGGACGAACCGCACTTACCATACCGCGGACATTTGTGCGGGAAATTTGAGAAGGGGAGAGCGAATCGGGGTGTAGGTGTGCGCTTCGGGTTTCCGAAAGCTTTGCGGTATTGTTACTGCGTAGTCAATATTTTCCATATGATGTACGCGCGCCTTTTTGGTGGGCGGAATGTTGCGATTTGAGTGCGTTGTTTTCCCGCAGCTTTCCGCAACATTCTCGCAAGGCCGACGCAGAAAAACCTTCGGAGGCCAAAAAACTCAGTTTTCCTTTTTCGCGATGAAGATGAAGGACGAGGAGAATAAGAGGAAGGACGAGGAGAATAAGAGGAAGGACGAGGAGAATAAGAGGAAGGACGAGGAGAATAAGAGGAAGGACAAGGAGAATAAGAGGAAGGACGAGGAGAATAAGAGGAAGGACGAGAAGAATAAGTAAGATGAGGAGAAATAAGAGAGGGGGGGGGGATTCATTAGATAGGGATGAGAAGAGATGGAGAAGGTGATGAAGGAGACAAATAAGCTGAAGGCCAAGGCCAACAGCAAGATGAGAACGACGAGACAGGAGTAGCATGGAACCGGGGTAGGTGGGATATAGGCTGCATTGCAGCTGCACCTCTCTTCGTTACTCGAGGATGCCCTTGCAGATGCCCTAGTCGTTCCGTCCGAGGCTACCGTAGCCCATTTGGTTCGTCACTAACTTTTTTTGAAATAAATAATCGATGTGCCTATTAAAAATATAGATGTCAAGGAACTGGTTTCCCTGCCTGGGTGTCTAAGAGGAAGTTCTGTGCACATATTCTATGTTAGATTGATGAGCTGGGTTTGTTTAGTTATGTAAGGAAATTTCCATTCCCTTACGCCGCATCCCTGCTTAGCGCGTACATCACTGTACTCACCACAGTCGCCACCGTTACCACTCGCGACATTCGCCTCGACTCATTTCCCGCCACCTCGCCCGTCGCACCCCAACCCCACGGCTCGGCTGGTGACCCGCGCTCCGGGCCTCCGCCTCGACACTTCTCGACCTCAGTCCCGACCTCAGTCCCAGGCCCGTCGCGCACCAACCACCTTTCGTTACCGTTACCACTCAGGCCATCGCTATTTAGTCCTCGCTCATTCCTTTGCTCAATGTACTGTTTTGCTTCGATAGTGCAATTCTCGCTCGCTCGCTCAATTGCACTCGTAACACTTGGTATCGAGAGCCTACGATCTACTCTCGGACCGCATCCACACCTTCGCTTCCCCACTATCTCAATTTTTTTGGTGGGGGGGAGAGGGGGTAGACGTCTCTCAGTGAGCCAGCACCGCTGCTCGAAGTGCTCTCTCAAAAGCACGCACGGCCACGACAGAGGCTCTCGCTGAGCTTGCCCGACACCCCCGCCATGGCTGAATTCATGCTCGCAACGTTGACGCAGGAGCAGCTCGACCGCCTCGTGAGCCAACTCGATAATTCCGCTCTCGAAGTTGCGACGCTCACAGCGGAACTCGACACCGCTCGCCGGCAATCCGCGACCAACGCACCTGCACCAACTCCAACAGATGCACCTGCACAAACGGACGAGCGAATCGAGATCTCATCCGGAACACCATCGCAACACGACAGCGTGGGACAGCGCTCAAGCGCAGCCAGCGACGGCGCCGATCAATCACTCCGGGCATGGAGAGAAACAGGGCCATCCCAAGCACGCCGGGGCCTCGCGAAAACCGTCGGCACGTGATGTTCGCAGCTACGAGCAGCAACAACGAAGTCACAATGCCGATCCTACTCAAGCCCCAGCACCCTCCCTGTTTTGATCCGAGCCAACGGGGAGGCCCGACGGTTCAATCGTGGACTTTCACGATGAACGTCTTCTTCGACGTGAATTACGTCGAAGACGACGCAGCGAAGATACGCTATGCTGTTTCACTGCTCAGAGGCCCCGCCATGGACTGGTGGCGAGTCATCGTGACGTCGCCACGCGCCTACGAGCCGCCGTCGCGAGAGGGAGAGCCCACGAGCCCAGCTGTCACCTGGAGCTCATTTTGCGAAACCACCTAGTACAGCACGTGTGTGGTGCGCAGGGCTTTGGGTGTGCTTCGAGCCGATCGCAGCTTCAATCTCGGCGCGTCAGAGACTACGCACTTGGCGGCAGCTCGGGTCGGTTCAAGACTACACGAGCGGTTTTCTCGCATTATGCGAGCAGGTCGGCTACATGCACGAAGCGGAGCGGGTGGACCGTTACGTCGGGGGGCTGAAGCCGGACATCTTGCACGAAATCATGCTCCACGGACTCTCGAATTTCAACAAGATTCTCTCGCTCGCCAAGAAAATTGACATATTGCACCGATCGAGACCGGGGTCCTACTACGGACATCGCCCTTGGGGGCCGACCGAGCACGCCACCGTACATGCCGTTGCGACGAATGCAGCTGCTGCGCCGTTAAGGGGCGCTGCTTTGCTTGCAACAGGCCGGGCCATCGCAAGAGCGAGTGCTCAGAGGAGCAAAGGCGCCGTGGAACAGAGCAGGGTAGGGACTCTCAGAGGCAGGGAAACGCCTGCAGCCAGTAGAAAACGGGCCAACTACTGACGAGATTACCTGCTCGCCCAACCTCACCGACCCTCACCGAGTCACAGTACCGATTCATGCTATCGATCGGGCTCGGCTGAATAAGAAGGGTATAACGACGGATTGCCCAGTACTGATCCACGGGAAAATACAGGGAGCAGCAGTGAAAATATTCATAGACGGAGGGGCAAGTAACAGTTTAGTTAATACCGCGACTGCACAAAAGCTACAACTGCCACTTAGTCGGTGTTTACCGGAGATTGATGCATGCTTAGTCGACAAAACGCCTCTGGCCATTCGGGAAAAAATGGAGAGAGTAAAAGTCCGCTTCGGGGGTAACTTCGGGTTTACACAGGAAATGCTCGCGACGACGCTGGATGGGCACGACATTTTACTGGGACGTGATTGGCTGCGACGGTATAACCCGCGAATTGACTTGACGACTAGTAGCTGCACCGTGCGAAGTAGCGGTAACTGGGTAGAACTACCTCGCTGGCAGTCGCCCGAGTCTTCAACGGTCCACGTCAACGCCATCACGATGAAACGGGCTGTCGCCGCTGGAGCTCACGTGTACGCAGTAGACATAGCAGTGGTGGAAGAAACACAGGCGCTGAGTGATTTTCAGAAACTCATAGCAGCAGTACCACCTGAACTACAGGAGCTGTTGAAACGATACCCGGGGATTTTCCCTGATGACTTACCGGAGGGACTGGCACCTCAGCGAGCATACGACCACTACATCGAGTTAGAACCAGGGGCACAGCCAACCGTACAACGACAGTTCAGACTGACACAGCCCGAGCTCGACGAACTGAGGAAGCAGTTAGATTACCTGTTAGAGAAGCAGTTCATCCGACCGAGCTCGTCACCATTCGCCGCACCGATACTGTTCACACCGAAAAAAGACGAAGGATTTTGAATGTGTATTGACTACAGAGCACTGAACCGCGTAACCCGATTCCCCGCGCCGACGAACTGATTGATCAACTGCGAACAGCTTGAGTGTTTTCGAAAATTGACTTACGGGGAGGTTACCACCAGATTAGAGTCGAACCATCGGACTGCGCCAAGACAGCTTTCCACACTAGGTACGGATCCTTCGAGTACACCGTGATGCCCTTCGGGCTGACCAACGCACCTGCGACATTTCAAATGACCATGAACGAGGTGTTTCGGCCACTGTTAGATAAGTGTGTCATCGTCTACCTCGACGACATACTGGTTTACAGCCAGGATAAGCAGCAGCACTTAGCGGACTTAGAAGCCATTTTTAAGATTTTAGACGACAACCGCTTACTGACCAAGGGATCGAAGTGTGAGTTTTTTCAGGACTGGTTAGAATTTCTGGGGCACATGATTTTGGAGGCTGGGGTCGAAATTGACCCTAAGAAGCTGGATACGGTTCAGGCATGGCATTCCCCGACAAATCTCACGGAACTGCAGAGTTTTTTAGGGTTCATCAACTACGTCTGTCGGTTCGTCCCCGACATGGCGCGTTTGGCGTGTCAGGTCTTTTCGGGGTAGAAAAAATACGGGAGCACCTGCAGCGACACTACTACTGGCCCGAAATGTTGACCGACGTACAGCGACACGTGGCATCGTGTCCCACCTGCCAACTCATGAAATCATCACGGAAGCGATCGGCAGGACAGTTGCAGCCGATACCACCCCCAGAGCGTGCTTGGCAGCAGGTGACGATGGACTTCGTCACAGGGTTACCGGCCGGGGCAAGTGGGAACGACGTGATCCTGGTCGTCGTTGATCGGTTGACGAAAATGGTGCATTTCGCAGCATGCAAGAAATCCATCTCAGCCGAAGAAACAGCTCGGCTTTTCATCGCCACCATCGTTCGATTACACGGGATACCAGCAGCAATCATTAGCGATAGAGACACGAAATTCACCAGCAACTTCTGGCGGAACCTGTGGCAGCAGTTCGACACACGGCTATAGTTCAGTTCTTCGTACCACCCCGTGACCGACGGACAGATCGAACGGACAAACCAGACCATGGAGCAACTCATCCGAGCCACGTGCGACGATCCCGGCACCTGGGAACAGCAACTGCCACTCATCGAGTTTGCGTACAACAACTCGCCATTCGCCACGACCCAACAGTCACCATTTTATCTCAACTACGGACAAGACCCCACAGTACCCATGACCTCGAATCCTGACAACTCCGTGCCACGTGCACAATAGTTCGCCGAAATCCTACAGGCAGCATGGACCAGGGCAGCAGATGCAATAAAAAAATCAAACGTCATCGCTAAACGCAACGCCGATCAGAAGCGGATGAGCGGAAAGTGTGCGCAAGTTGAGATGAAGTCCTTTGAAAGAAGGACAGCTATAGTAAGCCTTCCTGGAAGACTAAAATGGAGAGAGTAAAAGTCCGCTTCGGGGGTAACTTCGGGTTTACACAGGAAATGCTCGCGACGACGCTGGATGGGCACGACATTTTACTGGGACGTGATTGGCTGCGACGGTATAACCCGCGAATTGACTTGACGACTAGTAGCTGCACCGTGCGAAGTAGCGGTAACTGGGTAGAACTACCTCGCTGGCAGTCGCCCGAGTCTTCAACGGTCCACGTCAACGCCATCACGATGAAACGGGCTGTCGCCGCTGGAGCTCACGTGTACGCAGTAGACATAGCAGTGGTGGAAGAAACACAGGCGCTGAGTGATTTTCAGAAACTCATAGCAGCAGTACCACCTGAACTACAGGAGCTGTTGAAACGATACCCGGGGATTTTCCCTGATGACTTACCGGAGGGACTGGCACCTCAGCGAGCATACGACCACTACATCGAGTTAGAACCAGGGGCACAGCCAACCGTACAACGACAGTTCAGACTGACACAGCCCGAGCTCGACGAACTGAGGAAGCAGTTAGATTACCTGTTAGAGAAGCAGTTCATCCGACCGAGCTCGTCACCATTCGCCGCACCGATACTGTTCACACCGAAAAAAGACGAAGGATTTTGAATGTGTATTGACTACAGAGCACTGAACCGCGTAACCCGATTCCCCGCGCCGACGAACTGATTGATCAACTGCGAACAGCTTGAGTGTTTTCGAAAATTGACTTACGGGGAGGTTACCACCAGATTAGAGTCGAACCATCGGACTGCGCCAAGACAGCTTTCCACACTAGGTACGGATCCTTCGAGTACACCGTGATGCCCTTCGGGCTGACCAACGCACCTGCGACATTTCAAATGACCATGAACGAGGTGTTTCGGCCACTGTTAGATAAGTGTGTCATCGTCTACCTCGACGACATACTGGTTTACAGCCAGGATAAGCAGCAGCACTTAGCGGACTTAGAAGCCATTTTTAAGATTTTAGACGACAACTGCTTACTGACCAAGGGATCGAAGTGTGAGTTTTTTCAGGACTGGTTAGAATTTCTGGGGCACATGATTTTGGAGGCTGGGGTCGAAATTGACCCTAAGAAGCTGGATACGGTTCAGGCATGGCATTCCCCGACAAATCTCACGGAACTGCAGAGTTTTTTAGGGTTCATCAACTACGTCTGTCGGTTCGTCCCCGACATGGCGCGTTTGGCGTGTCAGGTCTTTTCGGGGTAGAAAAAATACGGGAGCACCTGCAGCGACACTACTACTGGCCCGAAATGTTGACCGACGTACAGCGACACGTGGCATCGTGTCCCACCTGCCAACTCATGAAATCATCACGGAAGCGATCGGCAGGACAGTTGCAGCCGATACCACCCCCAGAGCGTGCTTGGCAGCAGGTGACGATGGACTTCGTCACAGGGTTACCGGCCGGGGCAAGTGGGAACGACGTGATCCTGGTCGTCGTTGATCGGTTGACGAAAATGGTGCATTTCGCAGCATGCAAGAAATCCATCTCAGCCGAAGAAACAGCTCGGCTTTTCATCGCCACCATCGTTCGATTACACGGGATACCAGCAGCAATCATTAGCGATAGAGACACGAAATTCACCAGCAACTTCTGGCGGAACCTGTGGCAGCAGTTCGACACACGGCTATAGTTCAGTTCTTCGTACCACCCCGTGACCGACGGACAGATCGAACGGACAAACCAGACCATGGAGCAACTCATCCGAGCCACGTGCGACGATCCCGGCACCTGGGAACAGCAACTGCCACTCATCGAGTTTGCGTACAACAACTCGCCATTCGCCACGACCCAACAGTCACCATTTTATCTCAACTACGGACAAGACCCCACAGTACCCATGACCTCGAATCCTGACAACTCCGTGCCACGTGCACAATAGTTCGCCGAAATCCTACAGGCAGCATGGACCGGGGCAGCAGATGCAATAAAAAAATCAAACGTCATCGCTAAACGCAACGCCGATCAGAAGCGGATGAGCGGAAAGTGTGCGCAAGTTGAGATGAAGTCCTTTGAAAGAAGGACAGCTATAGTAAGCCTTCCTGGAAGACTAAAAACCCCTCCAGTGTTCCAAGAATGGGAGTAGTACCCTTGAACTGATATATACCGTAATCATACCCCCCATCCAAATCCGAAATCTACACTTCCACAGAGCCTTTCACCCTAACATTTGGAACATTTGAGAAAATTTCCAAACGAACCGCATCGCCCGAACGGTTGAAAATGGTAAATTTGTCCAACGCTTTGCTCAAGTAGGTTTCAAAACGTTTCAGAGCGGTAGTTTTCCGAACCCTACGCTCGTTCGGAAAAAAAACCCCAAATGTTCCACGCCCTAACTTGCGAGCAACATTCCCCATCAAGCTCAATAAGTCTTAGGGCTCATTTGTATCCCGTATCAGACACAAGGCTGGACACGAATTTGAGGTTCAGAAACCCCGAAGTGGCTCGTTTGTGGGGCGATTGAAGGTTAGGAAGAGACAAATTGGAGACTAAGGGATGATGACTTGATGTCTGACACCGGATACGAATGCGCCCTGATTTTGCGACTACCTAGTACTCACCACCATCCGCAATTAGTAGTAGTGCTGCCACATATATTTCAACCGCGCCAGCAGATTTGCTAAATCAGCGAAATCCGCCATTGCATTATGGCGATCGTTTTGCGGCTGTCCGGATTAAAAGTGCTTCTGACTCTGAAAATTACCCGCGACTTGCACACGGCGCCACTGCTTTAGACCCCCGTAAGTTGAGTGATCGTTATATGAAGACTATTCTTGTGCGCGCGCGTAAAAGTAGGAACTCGAACAAGTAGTTTAAGAAGAACCATATGCTGATGAAGTTCCCGAGGAAATGTTAGACCAGTTGCCGACCACACTGTTAATTGTCAAACATTATATATGTTATGCTTGTGTAGGCTACAGTGGGTTAGCCTATACGGGGTACACAATTCTAGGGTTAGGTACTTGTACTGTTTTGCACTGTTAGTTCATCATTCCTGTTCGTTCTTTCCGACATGGTTTCAGAGCAGGTCCTTCGCTAGGACCGTTTTTTTTAGGGCCCACCACTACCTACCTACCTACCTACCTACCTGCGCCCTAGGGCGCCTCGTTTTTCACGGCCCCCTGAGGCCCCGCGACCCGCGATCCGCCCCTTAGTGCCCCGCGCGCCGCCCCTTACAACCCCGATTGGCCCTCGCGCTCGCCCCTTACGGCCCCGAACGGCCCCGCGCTCGCTCCTAGCGGCCCCGATCGGCCCCGCGCTCGCCCCTTACGGCCCCGAACGGCCCCGCGCCCGCCCCTTACGGCCCCGTACGGCCCCGCGCTCGCCCCTAGAGGCCCCGAACGGCCCCGCGCTAGCCCCTAGAGGCCCCGACTAAGCCCCGCGCTCGCTCCTAGCGGCCCCGATCGGCCCCGTGCTCGCTCCTTACGGCCCCGCACGGCTCTGCGCTAGCCCCTAAAGGCCCCGTACGGCCCCACGCTCGCCCCTAAAGGCCCCAACGGCCCGCGACCGCTACAGCCGCCCGATCCGAGCTGAGCCGCCCGAACCGAGCCGCCCAGTCCGAGCCGAGCCGCGCGCCCCGAACCGAGCCGCGCCGCCCTAGCCGAGCCGCACAGCCCTAGCCGAGCCGCGCTGTCCTACCTGCACTACACTACTGCTACTGCTACTCCTACTGCTGCTACTGCCACTGCTACTGCTGCTATGGCTACTCCTCCTGTACTCGCTTTCGATACTGAGGGCCGCCCAGTGAAGTTTGACACCTGGCTCGATGACCTGCACCTCTACCTACAGCTCACTGCCAAGGAAGATATTTCACTGTACGATCACGCCCTAGGCCACGCTACTGCACCTCCTACTACTGCTGACAGCACTCAGCGCTCACAGTGGCAGACTCGTGACGCTCACGCTCGCTTTGCCATTCGCAACTCCCTACCGCTAGATGAGCGCGAGCACTTTGGCCAGCACAAGACTGCTAAGGAGCTGTACACTGCTGTAGTTGCTCGTTACTCCTCGCCTGCTTCTGCCGCACTAGGCCGCCTCTCCCTCCCCTACCTGTTCCCCGACCTGGCCTCCTTCCACACCGTTGCTGACCTCATCACCCACCTCAAGACTAGTGAGGCCCGCTTCCGCGCTGCTATGCCTGCCGAGTTCCTAGCTAACAACCCCCCCCCGCTCTGGCTTGTTCTCTACCACCAAGCACCCGCCTCCCTGACTCTCTGCGCGCAGTCAGGGACCAGTTTCTAGCTCGCTGCCCCACTGAGCTCACCATTGCCCTCCTCGAGAAGGAGCTACTTGCAGCCGAGGCGAGTGTCGTCGCTGTAGGTGCCTCTCGTGGTGACCCCCGCACTCCTTTCTTTGAGGGGTGTTCCCCTTCCCCCCTCCTTCCCTCTGTCGCCTCTGCTTCTGCTGTCGACCTTCTTGGTGCTGAGAAGGTCGGGACCGCGTCTGCTTCGAGCGGGCGCCGCAGGACGAGAGGGGGCAAGGGTGGAGGTGGCGGCGGGGGCGGTGGGGGTGGAGGCGGTGGGAGTGGAGGAGGGGCTGGAGAGGCTAGTGGCGGCAGTGGGGGTGGTGACGGCAGCGGCGGGGGTGGTGGCAGGGGCGGGGGCGGCGGTGGGGGCGGAGGTGGTCGTGGCAGCGGCAGGGGAGGCGGTGGTCACGGAGGTGGCGGCAGTGGTGGTGGCCGTGGAGGCGCTGGCGGTGGTCTGAGCCAGCAGCACACTCCGTCGCTCCAGGAGGCCCGTGAGTGGTATGCCCAGCGTCTTAGCTGCACGTATGTCATCCGCACTGGTGACCGCACTGGTCAGCAGTGTGGGAGGCCGCACCCCACGCAGCGCTGTTTCGCGCGCCTTACCGACGCTTGGCGCACCCAGTTCCCTGATGGCGCTGAGCTGCCCCGCTGGGCTGATCTGGAGAGGAAGGGGGTTGATATCTGGGCTCTAGACTTTGATGCTATTCTCACTGCCATGTATGCCATGTTTACTAGTGGAGAGGGTGCTCAGTACTTGTGTGTTCCGCCCGACCCGGGCATTCTGCCCACTGCCGCTCCAGGTGCTAGTGAGACTGCCGCTGCAGGTACTTGCGTGTCTGCTCCCTCAGGTGATGGTGAGGCTGTCGCTCTAGGTGCTCGTGCGTCTGTCCCCCCTGGTACTGAGTCGACTGAGGCACTGCACACCTTCACCCTGGACTCAGGTGCTTCACGCTGTTTCTTTCGTGACCGCACTGTCCTTGAGCCACTTGCTCGGCCAGTTGCTGTCTCCCTCGCTGACCCCTCTGGGGGTCCGGTCATTGCGACCTCCTCCACTGTCCTTCCCTGTCCAGCGGTCCCGTCCGGCACACTGTCAGGGCTCTACCTCCCCTCGTTCTCTACAAACTTGGTGGCAGGTAGCGCGCTCCAGGACGGGGGTGTTCACTAGTTCACCCCTGCCTACGAGCGTGTGACACACTGCACGTGTGCTCGGACGGGTCGTCACCTGGCTACCTTCACTCGGGAGCCAGGGTCGGACCTGTACACACTGACCACTGGGTCCCCACAGGTGGCTGCGTCTGCGTCTGCGTCAGGTCAGCTGTCTGCCCCCTGCTCGTGTCGGTCTCTCGCGCACGACACCGTCCTCTGGCACCACCGACTTGGCCACCCGTCCGTGCAGCGCCTTCGGACCATGCACCAGCGGTACCTTGTCTCTGGTCTTCCCAGGGTTCTACCTCCCCTCCCACCCTCGCCGGCTCCTCCCTGTATTCCCTGTGTCGAGGGGCGGCAGCGCGCCGCTCCTCACTCTTCTGCGTTTCCCCCGACGGAGGCTCCTCTGCAGACACTCCACCTGGACGTGTGGGGCCCCGCCCGCGTTCGTGGACAGGGCGGGGAGCGCTACTTTCTGCTGGTAGTTGACGACTACACGCGTTACACCACGGTCTTCCCCTTGCGCACCAAGGGTGAGGTCCCTGATGTCTTGATCCCTTGGATCCGCGCTACTCGTCTCCAGCTGGAGCGGCGCTTTCGCTCGGACCTTCCGGTCCTGCGACTGCACTCTGATAGGGGCGGTGAGTTTTCCTCCGACCTCTTGCGCGCCTTCTGTCAGGAGGAGGGCATTGAGCAGACGTTCACGCTTCCGGCCTCTCCACAGCAGAATGGGGTTGCTGAGTGCCGCATTGGCCTGGTCATGGAGGTCGCTCGTACCTCCTTGGTCCATGCGGCTGCCCCCCATTTTCTGTGGCCGTTTGCTGTCCGGTACGCCGCGCATCAGCTCAACCTCTGGCCCCGTGTCTCCGCTCCAGAGACCTCGCCGACACTACGTTGGACGGGAGAGGTTGGCGATGCGTCGGTGTTCCGCGTCTGGGGATCTCGTGCCTTTGTCCGCGACACGTCCGCGGACAAGCTCTCTCGTCGCGCTGTCCCTTGTGTCTTCCTTGGCTTTGTCCCTGACGCGTCTGGCTGGCAGTTTTACCACCCTGTCTCGCGCCGTGTCTTCCCCTCTCAGGACGTCACGTTCGACGAGTCGGTCCCCTTCTACCGTCTCTTCCCCTACCGCACTGCCCCGCTCCCCCCTCCGCCTCTCTTCCTCGCGCCAGGTGCTGCTGTTGTAGAGCCCCTCCCCCCTCAGGGTGCCGCTCCCTCAGGTGTGTCTCAGGTAGACCCCGTTGAGCCTGTCGAGGTAGCCGTCGAGTCGCGTCCTCCTCGGGGTACTGAGCCTGGGGGTGCTGAGACTGGGGGTGCTGAGCCTGGGGGTGCTGAGACTGGGGGTGCTGAGCCTGGAGGTGCTGAGCCTGGAGGTGCTGAGACTGGGGGTGCTGAGACTGGGGGTGCTGAGCCTGGGGGTGCTGAGACTGGGGGTGCTGAGCCTGGAGGTGCTGAGCCTGGAGGTGCTGAGAGTAGGGGTGCTGAGCCTGGAGGTGCTGAGTCTGGTGGTGTTGAGTCTGGTGGTGCTGAGCCTGAGCGTGCTACACCTGGAGGAGCCCTCTCCTCCCAGCAGCTGCAGGAGAGGTACCTCCGGTACTGCAGCCTCCGGAGGGGTGCTCCTGGCGCCGGTACCCGTGCTTCCCCACCTCCCCGGGAGCTCCCCTCCCTTCAGCAGATCCGAGAGTGGTACACGCGGCGCTGCAGTCTTCGGAGTGGAGCCCCTGGTGCCGCGGACCCGGACGGTGGAGCTACTGCTGGTGCTGAGGACCCGGACGGTGGAGCTGCTGCTGGTGCTGAGGACCCGGACGGTGGAGCTGCTGCTGGTGCTGAGGACCCGGACGGTGGAGCTGCTGCTGGTGCTGAGGACGCGGACGGTGGAGCTGCTGCTGGTGCTGAGGCCCCGGGCGGTGGAGCTGCTGCTGGTGCTGCGGACCCGCACGGTGGAGCTGCTGCTGGTGCTGAGGACCCGACCGGTGGTGCTGCTGCTGGTGCTGCGGACCCGAACGGTGGAGCTGCTGCTGGTGCTGCGGACCCGGCCGGTGGAGCTGCTGCTGGTGCTGCGGACCCGGACGGTGGCGCTGCTGCTGGTGCTGAGGTCCCCGGTGCTGGTGTCCCTGCTGGCTCTGGAGACGCTACGAGGCCGCGACCGTACTTCGTCCCGCTCCTTCAGCAGGTTCTTGGTCTGGCTCCTCCTCCTTATCCTCCTCCCTCCGTAGAGTGTCTGCAGCCTGTCCAGTCGCAGTCACAGTTACCGCCTACCTCGCCTCTCCCTGGTCCCTCTCCTTACACCGGTCCCACAGGAGGTCTTACCGAGCGTCGTGAGCCTGCGTCTCGTCCTGCGTCGCCTGTTCGTCCTGCGCGCACTAGTCGTCGTGGCACACGTGAGCGTCCTCCTCCTGTCCTTGGCACTCACTACATGACACTGCGTCGCTCCACTGCTCCTCAGCGTGTCCCTCTGCCGTCTCCTCCTGCGTCCTCTCTCCCTACTCTTCCTGACCCGGAGTCTGACTCCCGTCGTGCTGCCAGTCCCACTGTCACGCGTCTCCTCGCCACTGTTGTCACTAACCCTACCTTTGAGTCCTCTGCTGCGTCTGCTCTGGTTGCTGAGTTGGTTGACTTTGCTGCCGCGTGCCGTCTAGACTTCGCCGCTAGCCTTGTTGCTGAGTCTGAGTCTGTCTGTCCTCCGTCCATCGGGGGTGAGTGTGCTCTAGGCACGGACGTCCTTGAGGACAGGCAGGAGGAGTTCCAGTGCTTTGCTGCTGCTTTGCCCCATCTTGTGTCCATGCTAGTTGCCCCTGAGGGAGACCCGGATGCACCAGACATCCCGACCCCGCGCTCTTACGCAGAGGCGGTGGCAGGTCCCTACTCCTCTCAGTGGCAGACAGCCATGGACGCAGAGATGGCTTCCTGGAAGTCCACACGCACCTACGTCGACGAGGTTCCCCCACCTGGGGCGAACATCGTCAGTGGCATGTGGATTTTCAGGGTGAAGCGGCCGCCTGGTTCTCCTCCTGTCTTCAAGGCACGCTACGTTGCTCGAGGCTTCAGTCAGCGCGAGGGAGTAGACTTCTTCCAGACCTTCTCCCCCACTCCGAAGATGACTACTCTTCGGGTGCTGCTGCACATAGCCGCTCAGCGAGACTACGAGCTTCACTCTCTTGACTTCAGCACTGCTTTCTTGCAGGGCAGTCTGCACGAGGAGATCTAGCTGCGCCGCCCTCCTGGCTTCACTGGGTCGTTCCCTCCTGGTACCCAGTGGAGGCTCCAGCGGCCAGTCTACGGTCTCCGCCAGGCGCCACGTGAGTGGCACGACACACTGAGGACGACACTCGCGGCACTTGGGTTCGCTCCTTCTACTGCTGACCCGTCGCTGTTTCTACGCACTGACACCTCGCTGCCGCCGTTCTACATCCTCGTGTACGTCGACGACTTGGTCTTTGCCACTGCTGACACTCAGGCTCTCGCCCACGTGAAGTCGGAGCTGCAGAAGCGACACACGTGCACAGACCTGGGTGAACTGACAAGCTACCTTGGCTTGCGGATCACTCGGGACAGAGCACGGCGCACCATCACCTTGACTCAGTCACACATGGTGCAGCAGGTCCTTCAGCGCTTCGGCTTCACGTACTCCTCGCCTCAGGCCACTCCTCTGCCTACAGGTCACTCGCTCTCAGCTCTGCCTTCGGATGAGTCCGTAGAGTCGAGTGGCCCGTATCCAGAGCTTGTTGGCTGCCTCATGTACCTGATGACCTGCACTCGACCTGACCTTGTATACCCTCTTAGCATCCTTGCACGCTATGTCGCTCCTGGCCGTCACAGGAAGGAGCACATGGATGCCGCTAAGAGGGTGTTGCGCTACTTGTGCAGTACGTCGGGCATGGGGCTAGTGCTTGGAGGGCGAGACCGTGTTGTACTCACTGGACACTCAGACGCTTCTTGGGCGGACGACCAGGCTACTCAGTGGTCGTCTCAGGGTTACACCTTCAGCCTTGGCTCTGGCTCAGTTTCTTGGCGTTCTACACGCTCTTCTTCTGTTCTCAGCTCCAGTTGTGAGGCTGAGATCTACGCCACAGCCATGGCGGCCCAGGAGCTACGCTGGCTGACCTACCTGCTGACTGACTTGGGAGAGCGGCCTCGTTCCCCTCCAGTGCTGTACGTTGACAACAAGGCTGCCATTGCCTTGTGTGAGGAGCACAGACTGGAGCACAGAACGAAGCACATCGCCATGCGGTACTTCCTTGCTCGAGAGCTTCAGCAGCGTGGTCAGCTTCGTCTTCGTTACGTGGCCACTGAGGCCAACACTGCTGATGTGTTCACCAAGGCGCTTCAGCCTTGTGACCATCAGCGCTTTTGCACTCTCCTAGGTCTTGTGCCTACTGGACCTCACTTGCTCACTTCTTGACTCTGTTTGTACTGTGATCTTTATATATATACCTGCATGTTTACTCTTGCTAGGTTGTGATCATTGTACCTCTTGCTCTATTATAAACCTGCATGTGAACTGGTCTTGTGACCGCTTGCTTGTGCTCGGAATTTGTGTGGAATCCTTGAGATCCACCCTGAGCTTGTTTTGCCTTGCTCTGCCTTGACTGGTCTTGTGACCCCTAGTTCTCCCCCACTTTGCCTATGGGGGTGTGTCAAACATTATATATGTTATGCTTGTGTAGGCTACAGTGGGTTAGCCTATACGGGGTACACAATTCTAGGGTTAGGTACTTGTACTGTTTTGCACTGTTAGTTCATCATTCCTGTTCGTTCTTTCCGACATTAATCTCTCTCACTCTCACTGTTTCTTCCACCGCCGCGGGTAGTAGTAATCATGTTGGCCGCGCTCATCGTGGTTAGCGCCCTTGTTCTTGCACACAAGCAGCGGCGTGATCATTGAGGGCAGCGCAGGACAACAGAGCGGGGAAGGCGAGCAGGCCGACTATCGCAGAAGCAGCAGGGCAGGGCGCGCGATCAAGCGACTTTGGGTTCGGCCCATGCGCGGCATAGTTAAATCATGCGCTGGCTGAGGCGTTTCCGAGACCGCCTGCCCGGCGAGGCTGTGAGGACCTGCAAGGCAGGTGCGGCGATGACTAGTAAGGCTGGTGAGGTGAGAGAGGGGGGTGGGTTGGATCTTTATTGCTGTAACAAGACGAGATTCGCCATGCTAGCATGCATAGGAATCTCCGAATAGGAGAGAAGTTGTATCTCTTAGCTAGATCCGAACTCAGCACTTGCTAGCCCTGAGAACACTCTCCTATCCTCGTCATACCATAAGATCCAGCAGGGCATAGCATCGAGGCGCTATGCCAAGATGCTAAGCAAATAACATAGCGACACGGTTTTCCTATCCAAGTCGCCTTCCATCTTCCTAGCATAAATATCTCCTCTCATATTCTTGTATCATCTGATTCCCTATTCTAATCCAAGAATCTTCCTCTTGCTTATTCTCTCATCTACTCTACTGGAGCTAGGCTTCTCTAGCTTAGTTCCCTTCCGCTGCCAACGTTCTCTTCTTCCTTTCTAGCTACGGCGCCTTCTCCTCAGGCGCTAGGCCGGCCAGGCCAGCCGCGCCGTGCGTCGCTGCGCCGTAGCCCCAGTTTCATTGGTTTCAGAGCTAGCTAGGCAACATCATCTTCCCCTTTTGGAAATTCCCACGTTCATTGCGTGGTGAATTCCGAACCTGTTACATAACTCCCCCCCCCAAGAAGCACCGTCCCGATGCTTTCCCAAGCTTAACAAATCACTGGTCTAAATCTAGAAAATACAACAAGCATCCAAGCTTCATAGCTCCTGATCCTTCAATATTTTCTTCACTCTTGGTCTTCACTTGGTCTTCAGTTTTCTTCTCTTCAAAGGTGAACATTCAGAGGAAAAGTGAGGGAGGTAGGCATATAGCTGCAGCCAATAATACAGCTCTTGCAGTCACATGCAGCTTCTAACCATAGGGTGGAAGACCCTGAAAATCAATCTGTGTGCACAATCTTAACTAAGCGCATGCCTGCACAGCTATGGCACTTCTCACTGTACACTCCTCCGTGCGCAGCGCCTGCTAGAGAGTCAGTGCCACGCGGACGAGTCCCTTTGGGCACACGCCTCCAGTGACCTTCCTGTGTTGGCTGCCCCTGAACCCCTAGGTGCTTACCCAACCACGACCGATAGGGAGCATTTCGCGCGTCAGTGCGCTGCTCAGACGGCCTGAAAGTCGCGCAACGCTGCCGCCTAAATCACCCTCAGCAGCCTCCTCCTTGAGTCTGAGGAGACCCACTTTCACCCAGGTTTGGCCGCTAGCGAGTTCCTGACTGCGATGAAAGCCCGTTACGCCACTCCCACTACTGTCTCTCTTGGTTGCCTGTTCCTCCCGTTTTGGTTTCCTGACCTCGCCTTGTTTGAGTGTTCTGCTGGCTTGATCGCTCACCTGCGTCTGCTAGACTCCAGCTACTGCGCTGCCTGCACAGAGGAACAGCTTGCACCACTTCCCCCCCCCATGGCGATTACTTATTATTTTATCGCCACTAGCCTCCCTCACCGTCTTGCCACAGTTCGTGACGCGCTTCTTCTGAAGCACCCTAGTGAGCTCATTATCGGCGTCCTTGAGTCTGCGCTCAAGGACATCGAGAGCAACCTCTGCTCGGTAGCCTCCGCCTCGGATGTTGTGCCCCCCTGACTGTTTCACGTGTGCAGTGTCCCACAGCTGCCCACCTTTACTGCCTCCCTCGCCGCTACCGCCACTGATGAGACCGCGGCCGCTGTCACGACTTCCGCGTGGTCTAGGGCTAGGAGTGGCAGAAGGGGCGGCAAGGGTGAGACCAGCAGCGGAGGCAGCAGAGGTGGCGAAGCGAGTGGCGGTAGCGGGAGTGCAAGTGTTGGTGCAGCGCCTCGTGCAGCTTCTAGTGGCTCCTCTACTGCAGCTGGTGGAGGCGATTCTCAGGCTCGTCGGGTGCCTGCGTGACTGCCAGCTACAGGCGCTGGTGTGGCGGCCTGTTACCTGGCTCAGCGGCAGCAGCAGCAGCAGCAGCAGCCACTCCTCTCGCAGCAGCCACAGCAGCAGCAGGGGCAGCAACAGGTTCCAAGGCAGGGGTCAGGACCGCGTCAGCTGTCGCGTGGTGACGCCCACCCACCCTGCCCCTACCTCATCCAGACAGATACTCGCAATGGCCTCCGCTGTGACCGCCGCCACCCACCGGGTCAGTGCTTTGCTCCGCTCACGAACACACTTTGCGCGGTTTACGGCGTTGACGGCCCTGCCCATGACTGGGTTGCCTATGTTCTCTAGCATGGTCCTGCTCTCTGGGAGATGACTGCTTCTCAGTTACTTGATCGCTTAGGAACTCCACATGCTATGTATGCTCTTGTGGACTATAGTGCTGCTGGCTCTGTTTGTTCGCGTGTTCATAGCTTAGGTGCTAGTGTTGATCCTGTGCCTGTTGCTAGTGTAGGTGCTTGTTTAGGTGCTAGTGCAGGTGCCACTTCGGCGGACGTGTCGCTGTCTTTCACGCTGGACTCCGGTGCGTCTGAGTGTTTCTTCTGCGACCCCATGACTCTTACTCCGCTTCCTGCACTAGTCTCTATAGCACTGGCTGATCCCACTTCGAAACCCATCATTGCTCACCACTCTACTACTCTCCCGTGTTCGGCTGCTTCCTGACTGGGCTCCACGTCCCCTAGTTCTCCAAGAACTTGGTGGGTGTGCGCCCTCTAGCGCGTCAGCACGTTGGTGTTTGGTTTGAGACTTCTGGGTAGTCTGCGACCTTTGTGGACGGGGACAGGTACGCCCCCCTAGCCACCTTTCACCCGGAGCCGGGTTCTGCTCTCTACATGCTTCACACTGACCCCCGAGAGAGGCAGTAGCAGCAGCCACCTCTGACCCCTGTCACTGCCCCCTGTTAGGTCCCAGCGTCCCACCAGGTTGCTGCGTCCCCCCAGGTAGATGTGTTTGGTCAGGTTACAGCGTCCAGCCTAGTTGATGCGTCTTGCTTGTGCCGGCTGCTTGCCCACCCCACCGTTTTGTGGCACCACCGTCTTGGTCACCCGTCCCTTCTTCGCCTTCGCACTATGTCTAGTCAGCATCTTGTCCTAGGCCTCCGAGTCTTGCCGTCCCTACCACCTTCGGGTGCACCACCTTGCGGCCCTTGCGTCGTGCGCGCCACCCCTCACTCCTCCCTTCATCCGACCACTGAGCCCTTCGAGAATCTCCACTTGGACGTCTGAGACCCCACCTCTCGCCCTGGTCCTAAGCGAGAAGTTTCTTTCTTGTGGTCTTTGACGACTACTCTCGCTACACCACCATTTTCCCATTGGCAAAGAAGTCCGAAGTGACTTCTACACTGATCCGGTGGTTGCTCAACACAGAGGGTACTCGTCACCGTCGTGTCAGCTGTCTTCACTCCGACCGCGGGGGTGAGTTTTGCTCCAGCATTCTCGCCAAATTCTCTGCCGAGCAGGGCATTGCCCAGTCTTGGACCCTCCCAGAGTCTCCACAATAGAATGGGGTTGTTGAGCGCCGCATAGGCTTGGTCATGGAGATTGCCCGCACCTCCATGACCCACGCCCGTGCGCCCCATTTTCTGTGGCCCTATGCGGTTCAGTATGCCGCTCACCAGCTGAACCTCTGGCCCCGTGTCTCACGGCCAGGGGCTTCACCGACCAGTCTTTGGACCGGATCCCCTGGAGTTGCGTCGCGCTTTCGTGTTTGGGGCTGCTTGGCGCAGGTTCGCGACACCTCCGCGGACAAGATCTCGCCTCGCGCCATTCCCAGTGTCTTCCTTGGTATCTCGATGACTCCTCTGAGTTCACCATTTACTACCCTCCCCTTCACCGGTTCCTTAACTCCCGTGACGTCCGTTTTGACGAGTCAGTCCCCTACTACACCCGATCTCCCGGTTCCTCCTCCCCCTCTCTTCCCGATTCCCACTCCCCCTCTTGCTCCTCCGGTACAGCCTCCCCCCCCCCCCCCTGGTCCAGCCCCGTCAGGTGTGTCACACGCTCCCCCCCCCCCCCCTCGGTAGCCCCTCAGGTCCCGTCCCCTTCACCGCAGTCTTTCTCACAGTCACCGCAGCAGCTGTCAGCACTTCCTTCACAGGCTGCTGCAGACTCTGAGGGTGCTGGTGTTCGTAGCGCGGACCTTGGAGGTGCTACCTCTAGAGGTGTTGGAGTTGAAGCTGAGAGTGTGCCTGCACGAGGTCTGGTTCTGGGGGTGCTGGAGTTGGAGCTGAGCCCGTGTCTGCAGGAGGTTCTAGTCTTCGGGGAGCTGGTGTTAGTCGAGTTTTCCTTGGGGGTGCTACGAGGGGTGCGGGTGCGCCCTCTGCTAGACCTGGAGAGGCTGGGACTGACTGCGTTGTTGCTGGAGGTGCTGGCTCTAGGGTTGGTGCGACTGGTTCTTTGGAGAGCGGTCCTGGGGCTACCACCACTTTGGAC